GACATAAAGATTAATAGTAAATCACAAGATATTGATACCAATAGAAAGCTTGAGAGCTGCTTAAGCTAATAGAACCAAAATATACCCATAATCGTAGTATTTTGACAGTCTTCGAAGGCGTAGAATACAACGTCTAAATAAAAGTTTGTATCGACGATACCGAGTCAGAGAGCACTGGAAGGAGGTATACGCTCCACGTCAAAAAAATCCTTAAACTGTTCTTCGAGTATCTACACCGGTCTCGTCCCGCTTGATGGGACAGTTTTTTTGATATTCGGCCTTGAAATTTGCACTATTTTTAGCCTAGCTCGAACCATGTTCAGAAAATGCGTCACGATGACACCCATTTAGAATGTACCAGCGGTATAAAAAACAGTTGTATACTACTTGTAGTACTCCCTAGAGTTCCCATAAAAAAAATTAGGTTAAAAATTGTTGTTATGTGCAATTTGGATGACAGGTTTTATGATTTTTTTTCGCTGTGAGAACCTTTGCAATGCCCGAAATTTCTTGACGTGCGCCGTGCGGTCAAACCAGATTTTTATTGCACTGTGCAAAGAAAAGAAAATCTCCTTTGCACAGTGCAAAATACAGAACGGCCTTTTGTCGCGGCTTTCCTTGCACTGTGCATAATTTTTTGGAACGACTTGCACTGTGCATGAAAACCCGAAACTCCACAGTGCGAAATTTATCGCACAGTGCATAAAAATAAAAAATGCACAGTGCAAAGAAATTGAAACTTTGAAACCATTCTTTTACCGCACAGTGCAAGGATTTTATGACGTTTGCACAGTGCAAAGAGCTTTCCACATCTTTTCTCAGCGCACCGTGCAATTTCTCAAAATAACCTGTAAATACAATTACTTTTTACTGCTAAAAAGAGAGTCAAAGAATGGACCCAAGCACATTTTCGTATCCTCCAGAGTAATTGTAGGTGTGATATTGGCGACAAAAAATAAAAATATTCCCACAAACCATAATTTTATGGGGTTTAAAATAGCCCTCCGCAGGCGTTTATTTCGTTATGTGGGCATTTTCGCACTCCTTTTTACATCATAACCTCGTTTATTCGGTGTGACTTGTCATGAGAAGCCATATTCTTATCGAAAACTATTAGCCAGTGGAATATTTTCTCTCTGTCATCGTGAAAAAACTCTTTGCACAGTGCAATGAGAAAAAAGCGGCGTGTTTTTCATCGCACAGTGCAAAAATTTTTCTTTTTGTTTGCTAAATTTTTCTTTTTTGCACGGTGCAAACATCTTTGTCGCTTGCGCACGCCAATTTATTTTCTTCAAAAATTTTTCTTTCAAAAAAACAAAAAAACTGCGCGCGACTTTGATTGCACAGTGCAAACTTACCTTTTCAATTTCGCACTGTGCAAAATTTTTTCCACCATTTTTTGCACTGTGCCAAAAACCTTTCGCTACAAATTTTGTTTTCTGCACGGTGCAAACATCTTTGTCGCATGCGCGAGGCTGAAATTACGCCGCGATGCCGCACCGTGCAAGAAGCAAAAAAAATTTCGCGCGACATTGACTGCACAGTGCGAAATCGCTTTTTTCGATTTTGCACGGTGCAAATCAATTCGTTTCTTTTTCGCACAGTGCAAATTTTTTTGATCGTTGTTTGCACTGTGCAAAACAAAATATAAATTTGCACTGTGCAAAAAGTTGTAAGCTCATTTTTCGCGCCTTTAAAGCTTTTTTTTTATTTTTTTGAATTCTCAAATTTTCAGAGACATGACAAAGCTCCAGAAAACCCGTTACGTTGTCCTCAACGAGCTGATTCGAGGTCCATTTTCGCAGCTGGTCCCCGTCCACGATCGAGTAAGTCCCCCAGAATTGCAAATAACACGTGCCCTGAGGGCGAATACGATTATCCGCCTGCGAATTTGGTTTCCCAAATTTATTTCACAATCCGTTTTTTTCAATTGATAGTTTTTGTCGAAATTTTTGAGTAAATATTTTTTGTTTTACGAGTTCCTTTTCCCCGAAACTGGATGTAATATGACACCCAACAATGTCATAGGAAAACATGTTTTTTTCATTTTAAATTCAGTTTTAATCAAAAAAAATTTTTTTTGATTGCACTGTGCGGAATTTCCGTTTTTTCGCACTGTGCGAAAAAATTATTTTTTTTTGCACTTTGCAGAACTAAAAAAATCGCCCAAAAATGGCGAAACAAAAAATCGCCGACGTCTTCTGATGATGTCAATGGTCTTTTTACCTCGAAAAATTACATTATTTTCAATAAAAATTCAAAATTAAAATTTCCCGCCATTTTTGGCATTCTGTTTCAGAGCCCTGAAAGTGTCTAAAAATCATTGAATTAGTGTTCTAATGATCCATTGACAATTTTAAAGATTAGTTTGTGCTTTTTTCAGTTTTTAAGACAAATTTTTTATCTTATCCATGACAATTTTCTCCATTTTATGGTCTAAAAATCCTAATTTCCCTACCTTTTCAATTCAAAAGAGGCTTAATTTCCCATTTCACACGTTAACGACTTAATTTTAATCCTTTTGAACTCAAAAACGTTTTTTCATTTCCCTCTTTTCACCTCAAAATCGTCCATTTTCTCGTCCACAGCGTGCACGAAGAAATCTGTCACCTTCGATTTTCCAAAAAAAAGATACTTTTTAACTTCGAACTCAATTTGGGGAATGGCCCCCACACTCACTCCTTGGCGGGTAATTGTTTTAGAGGTCGCCATGACAATAGTTTTTGCTCGCTTGTTACACCTACACCCTTCCAGATGTTTTCGGCCTCAGGGCATGTTCGGATCTTGCAGCGGGATGACGGGATTCGCCGGGGTCGACAACCCAGGGGATTTGGTGGTATTTGGAAGACTATTCGAGGGTTGAAGTAAAGGTTTTCAGGACGATTTTTGAGTTTTAATCGAAAAAATGGCGGTTTTGAGAGAAATTTTGCGAAAAAGTGATAATTTTGGATAAAATTCGATGATTTCTTAGCTTTATTGCACTGCTAGCAGAACACACCGTATTTTAAAACCTACCAGGACCGGTTTGATCAACTTATATCCCGGCTTTTCACAAGAAATTGCGCCTTTTTTTGAATTTGGTGACATTTTATACGATGAATTGAAATTGATAGAATGTCAAAGCGTATTTTAAAAAACAAATATCCTGATTATGACCTCTAAGCTCTCGTTTATCTTTCCATAAAAAATTTTTACCTCATATGGTGACATTTTATACAAAAAAAATCAGAAAAAAGACAGCGGAGCGTATTTTACATCCTAAAAGCCGTTAACAACGCTTGAATATCATCTTAACTCACTTGAATTTTAGTTACTCTGCCTAAAAAAGGGGTTTTCAAAACCTAATGGGCGATTTTTTACATAGTTTGAGTGCACTGTGCGCAATTTTTTTCTTGCACTGTGCAGAAAATTTCGGCCAAATTTTAGCTGTCAAAAGCGATGTAGGACCTCAAAAAACACTTGTAAAAAACTCAACAGCCTACAAGTCATCCAAATCCACTAATTTGCAAAAATTTTCCAGAAAATCCGTCATGATGACACATTAAATTATCAAATTTTTCGGGGTTTTAAAGTGCATAAATCATAGCCAGGATGCTGAAACACTTATAAAAAAGATTTTAGATGTAAAGCTACATATTCTAATCGTATTTTACCCCATTTTTAATTTTTTTCAAAATTAAAATTTTTCAAATTTTCCTCAAATTGCCAAATATAAAATGTGATTTTTAATACGAGAAGGGCTTGTAATTTGTATTTACAGCCCGTTTCCACACACACAACTTTGCCCTTTCCATGTTGTACTGGTTGAGAAATCACCTGTTTTCCCGGGAATTATGCGAATATTGACGTGGAAGTTGTATTTTTTCGGATTCGAAAACAACTCCCGGGCTGCTAATCCGCGGTGTAGGAAGTGAGATAAGGGAGGGGATTCATTTGGGCCTTCCAGATTTGCGGTTATTATTCATTTTTCGGGGTGTAAAAATGACGTCATTTTGATAAATTTTGTGTGAAAATGACGTAGTTTGAAATTTTGAAAGCATCGTCACTAGTTGCAGCGTATTTTAAACACCTTATTTTATCGTTTTACATTGTTTTACGTCAATGTTTTACCCATTTTCTGCCAGTTTTCAGACTTTGATACCAGCCCAACATGGATAATATAATTCCGGACCCAGTTATGGCTGAGGGAGAACCCAAATGTTGTAGTTGATAAATTACTTGTTTTTATACCCCTCTGAACCTTTTCTCGTTTCCCACCGTGAGCCTGGGAAGAAATCAAATTATTATTTTGGTCCCACCACGAAGACCCTGAATCTCACTAAATACAAGAAAAAAAGGGGAATTGAAGGATTTAGAGTCTATAGGTCTTCTAAGTTCCATCAGAATAATTGTTTTTAACTAAAAGAGCCTCTTAATTTTTGATTTTTTGTCCCACCACGAAAACCTGAATTTGCCAAAATCGAGTAAATTTTCCCATTTTTCGGGTTGATAATGAAATTCAAGACTAGCCTAATGCAATTTAGCCACTAAATTCGTTCGCCTTCAAAGAATCTCGTTTTCCGTCTCCCACCACGATTCCCTGAGGAATGCCAAAACACATTAGAAACAACTTTTTTGAGCCGTAATGTAATTTTTGAACTCTAATAAGACCACATGATCCTTCAAAACAATTTTCCCCATAAATTTTTCGTTTTTTGGGTCCCACCACGACTTTCTGCAAGCTCAAAAAACTCATTCGAAATTCGAAAATCATGTTCGAAACGGGTCGAAAGTCCGATACAAAATTCATTTCGAGTCATCAGACCACCCGAACACTCATTTTTTGACCGCGTTTCTTCCGCTTTCTCCCACGGCCTGAGGGCAGGAAATCTCATGCAAAACATATTACGGCCAATTCTAATTCCATTTGGGTCGCTCCGTTTTTTTGTTTTTTTGTCACCATTCGCCTTGAGGCCATGCGGCGGAAACTTTGGTTCGAAATCAGAGCCCATTGTTCCAGGATGCGAGTGAGGATTGGGCCGCCGCGGAAATTGCGCAAACCCGAAAGTGCAAAGGTAAAGGACCCTTCCTTCCGATGTTCGGTTGCTCTCTGTTTCCTTCGTTCCCGTTGTGTGTTGTGGGCTGGGGAAGTCGGGGAGTTCGGGGGGTTTCCGCAGGTGATGGGCGGTGGGGGCTGCACGGTGCAGACTGGAACAAGTTTCTCGCACTGTGCGACGGCGCAGTTATGGGTGATGGCTGCACAGTGCGATCGTGCTTTTTTGCCGCACAGTGCAAAAAAAAACTTTTTTCATGCACTGTGCAGTGGCGACACACGTCAAAGAAAAAGTGAAAAAACAAAGAACCTCGGATCATTGATTTTTGACGAAATGTCGCTGAATTATCGAGTCACAAAAGAAAACTTTCCCAGAGAATTTCGAGAAAAATGTTTTTTTCGAAGAGGAAAATAATTTTTCAAGCTCGATAATTCTGTGGCACTTCGCAAAAAATCAATGATCCGAGATTCCTTGTTTTTTCAATTTTCTGAAAGAATTGTTTTGACGTGCGACAAGGCATTTCGCTGTGTCACATTTGAGTGCACGGTGCGGTAAATGTTTTTTAACGCTGCAAAAAAAACCTTTTTCATGCACTGTGCAGTGGCAACAACAAAAAAAAAACTGTGCGACGGCGGAGTTATGGGTCATGGTTGCACAGTGCGATCGTGTTTTTTTGCCGCACAGTGCAAAGTCTTAGCCTTTTCAGCGATATGTTTTTTGACGCACGGTGCAAAAATAAACTTTTTTCATGCACTGTGCAGTGGCGACGTTACTGTTGCACAGTGCGGTCGTTTTTTTTTGTTGCACGGTGCAGACTAGAAAAAGTTTCTCGCACTGTGCGACGGCGGAGTTATGGGCGATGGCTGCACAGTGCAAGCTTTTTTTTTGCTGCACAGTGCAAAGTGGTAGCCTTTTCAGCGATGATTTTTTTTGCTACTAGGCGTTCCAGAAAGTGCGTGCACTTTTTGTCGTGGGCCGCACTGTGCACAAAATTGCCTTCTTGCGGGGTGCATTTGACCTTTTGCACCGTGCAATTGCAATATCGCAGCGACGCAGGCTTTTCTCAACGGAGCCGGCGCGATTTTTTAGAAATTGCACAGTGCAAAATGTTTCGAATCGGATCGCGTCGCGCGGGGAACCGAAATTTTGCACTGTGCGGTGCAAAAAAGGCGGAAAAAAGTGCACGCACTTTCTGGAACGACTAGTACACTGTGCAAAAAATAAACTTTTTTCATGCACTGTGCAGTGGCGACGTTACTGTTGCACAGTGCGGTTGTTTTTTTTGTTGCACAGTGCAGAATGGAAAAAATTTTTTGCACTGTGCGTTGGTCTTTGCACAGTGCGGTGATTTTTTTTGCTGCACTGTGCAAAAAAAATGTTTCGCGCACTGTGCGACATCAGGGTTACGGTTGCATAGTGCAAGCATTTTTTTGCTGCACGGTGCAAAAATAAACTTTTTTATGCACTGTGCAGTGGCGACAAAGCATTTCGCTGTGTCATATTCGAGTGCACGGTGCGGTGAAAATTTTGGTTTTTTGGCGTTGCACGGTGCAAAAAAACTTTTTTCACGCACTGTGCAGTGGCGACAAGATTTTTTTAAATCCCTGTCGCACAGTGCAATAGTTTTTAAAAATATTAAAACTGTAAGTTATTAAAGCCAAACGTATTTTACCAGCTGATATCACTTCTCCACAACACCGAAATAAATGCACTTTTATTGCTACTTGAAGCTTTGCGTGACAAAAGCGGCCAAAAAACGGAGCCGAAAATTAGTTTATTACACACGAACAAGTAATTTCCCTTTTCCCAGCCTATAAACTCAGGTTTTCGAGGCCCTCAGGCCATTCGAAAGCTTATTTTACTCTCGATTTTGGGGGAATTGCACTGTGCGAACCCTATTTTTGATCATTGCACCGTGCAAAAACACAAAAATTGGACTGCACCGTGCAATCGAAAAAATGGAAAAATCTTGTTGCACAGTGCGAGAAAACGTATTTTTGACCTCTGCACGGTGCGAAATTTGTTTAATTTACGCACAGTGCGGGAAATTTTTGGGCATTTTCGGACTGCACTGTACAGCCAAAACTTAAAATTGCACTGCACTGTGCAAAAGAAAAAAAAAATTGAAAAACTTGTTGCACAGTGCGAAAAACTTATTTTTGACCTCTGCATGGTGCGAAATTTCGTTTAATTTATGCACAGTGCGGGAAATTTTTGGGCATTTTCGGACTGCACTGTGCAGTCAAAAAAGTATTTTTTCTTAATTTCTATAACTTTTACTGGTCTAAATTGTCGGTTATGGTGGAAAATATTGTGTTAGCATTACTGTGTAACTGTTTTTAACCTTATTTTGTGTAATTATGCAAATTTATGCAAATTTTATATTTTAAAAATTTTTGAGTTTCTACCTAAAATTTCCTTCTAATTGGTTCTAAATAGTCATAATAATAATTCTATAGCATTTTAAACTTAATTTTCCCCTAGAAAATGGCGTTTTCAGGCGATGAACATCGACCAGCCCTCTCAACGGAACCACGTGGAATGGCACAAATCCCTGGACGCCCTGCTCAATGAACGTCAAGCCATTGATGCGTTCAGAGTGTGGCTTCGCTTGCATCGACGCGACGACGCCTTGGACTTTTATTTGGCCATAATCGCGTTTCGGAAACATGTGATGAAAAAGGACCAAAAATCGATGAATATGGCGTATGCCATGCAGAAAAAGTATATTTGGTAGGTAAATTTTAGCTTTTCAGTAGTGGAGAGCTTCTGGGAACAATCGAAGACCATTAATTTTGAGAGAAAGACATTAAAGTTTAGGTTTTAATCAAATTTTTGTATCTGATGTCTAGTATAATATAAAAAAGTGATGAAAAATGGTACAATAGTGCATAGAAGAGTGTAAAAAGGAATATGTAGCGTTTTGAAGTCATTTTCGATGCGATCGGCTGTTCAAAACGCAATGCCAAGAAATCAGGGTTTTCGTGGCGGGACTCAGAATTGAAACCTTAAATTTGTAAAATGGTGTTGCTTGTAACGCACACGGAAAAGGGAGCGTATTTTAACTCAAATTGACACCATTTTTTACACGTCCAGAGTTTCGTGGTGGGACCAAATTTTTTTCTGAAATTAAAAAAATTTTTTTCAAAAATTTAATTCAAGTTTTTTCAGCCCCAGAACAGGCCTTTGCGACTTCCTCCCACAAAAACTCCGTCAAGAAATCTCGCACAAAGTGGTCCAATACCGCGCCCGAAAACAAACCCCGCCAGTCGATATTTTCGACCGGCTCGCGCCCTACGTTTGGTCCTACCTTTGCGAGCAACACACCCTGTTCGTCAGTTCGAGTGAATTCAACACGGTCGTGAAGGCGTCGGAAGCCGGAGGCAATAAAAACAAAATGGCGGAAATCACGGCCCAGCGCAATCAAACCGCCAATTCGAGGGTACCCCCGTTGATTGGGTTCGCGAAATTCCGCTGCAGAGACTCGCAGAACACGTCGGAACGGCAGAGGTTCAGAGCCAAGTCGGAACCGCCCGCGAAACGGTAAGAATTTGGGACTGGACGGGAGTGCACCGTGCGAATTAATTTTTATTGCACTGTAAGAGGGGTAGTGAATATTGAATTTTGAAAAGTTGTGAAAGCCAATGCCTAGTGGTAATACATTTGTGGTATTTCCGATTTTTCTATTTTTCGCTTCAAGGGTCCCCGAATTTGCGAGTTGAAGTTATTGCACAGTGCACAAAAGTTTTCATTGCACTGTGCGAAAAAAATAGACAGTACAAACTTAAAAATTAGTAAAAACTAGTCGTAACTGTCTAAGAAACAGTATTCTTCAATCTTTTTTATATTTTTGCCTCAAGGGATTTAGGATTTCCGTTGTAATCCGACTGCACAGTGCGCGAAAGTTTTCATTGCACTGTGCGAAAATACTAGGCAGTGCAAACTTGAAAATGGTCAAGAACGAGTTGCCAGCATCTCTGAAACATTGTTCTGCAATCTTTTTTATATTTTTTGCCTCAGGGGATTCAAAATTTCCATTGAAATCCCACTGCACAGTGCAGCTCAAAAATTTCTCTGCACAGTGCGAGTTTTTTGTTACGAAAGAGTAAAAAAATGAGAACAAGTGTTTCAGAAGTCATTCTGCGGCCCTGCCAAGAATCTGTCATCTATTTCCCTAAGGGCATTTGAGATTTTGCCTTCAAATTTCACTGCACAGTGCAATGAAAAATCTTCGGTTGCATGCAATTTTAGGGCTTAGAAAAATGTCTTTCTGATTGTCAGAGGCTGTGTTTTTATTTTGAAATAAAAAATATGTCATCATGACATATTTTTTGGACGATTTTTGAGAATTTTTTTTTAGTTTTTGAAATTTTAAAAATTTTTTTATGACTTTTCTACTAATTTCATACTGTAAAAAACTCGTTCCGTGCGACGAAAAGATTGCCCAAACCGATTATAAAACCGATACGCTCTGGGGAGACTGACGGAAGTAAACAAAAAAAAATTTTTTTTTCTCGTCCTCCGAAATTGGCTCGAAAAATGCAGACGGGGAGGATGTACATCCCCAAACAAAACATATGCCCATCTTTGCTCCCGCCAATCTCTCGAGAGGCGCGAGGATTCGCGGGATTTTACGAATTTTTTATTGGAATTTTCATAAATTTTGAGAAGTTTTCTGAAAAATTTTGTTTCAGATTGCCTAGAAAGGATGAGGAGATGAGACAGCACACACTGGACCATCAGGATTCCGACGACAACGAGTTTGTAAGTTGAAAAAAAATTTTGAAAATTTTGTAAAATACGGATAAAAAAGCTTTTAAATCTGGCTGAAAATTTGCATAAATATAGAAAACAAAATTTTTTAAGGCTTTTTAATTTTTTTTAGATTGCAATTTGCAGAAAAAACCGAGATTTTTTAAATCAAAATTTTCAAAAAAAAAAATTTTCAAAATTTTAAAATCCAAAAATTGGCATTCTGTTTCAACCCCCTAGTTCAACCTTCCCACCAAAAATCAATTTTTTCCGCGCAAAATTGGCCGAGATATAGCCAAAAAACCTTTTCTTTTCTCTCGCCGTCTCCTCATTTTCCCTACTCTCTCCGAAAAAAGTTGTGTAATATCTGAGTGCCCGTTGGATATTGGGGGCTCAAATTTTCAGACATTGATACATGCTTTATATCGAGCAGGTAAACAGAATTTGAAAGAGATATGAGCCTTTTTGTTCGAGAGACTTCCTTTTTTAAAAAAATTGGAAAAATCCAAAAATTTTTTATTTTACAGTAATCCAGCAAGATTTCTTTATTGAAAAAACTGATTATTTTTACTCAAAACGTATTTTACGTAGTTAAAATTGAAAATCCCACTTTTTTTAATGAAATATGTCATAATGACGGGTTTTTTGGAATTTCAATTTTTCAAATTTTCACTGAAAAAAGTCATTTTTTTTTTGATTTTAAGTCAAAAAATGTTAAATTTAGTTTTTATTTTACATTATTTTATTTAAAATTTGATTTTTTCCATATTTTCCGACCTTCCTTTAGGTGGAGCCCGAAGTCCCGGGCTCGTTTCCCATTCGTCACGAGCACGAGGAGGATCGCGAGCTTTTCGCGCGGATCCTCAGCGATCGCTTGGCCCCAATCGCGCTTCAACAGCAGGACGAGGACCGCCGACGGGCCGAGAACGAGTTCCGGCTGGACTTGGGCGGGGACACGCCCAGCAGTTGGGACGAGGAGGACGCGATCCCGCCCGAGGCGCTCTGCGAATGGAGTCTGGCGCCGAGCGCGCGTGTGGCCCACACACGGGGCGCCAAGTTCATGCAGAAGTCGGCGTCGATTGCGTTTAGCGAGAGCAACGACCTGCACCCCTTCCATCAGCAGCCGCCGGCTGCGCCCAGGCTCAAGAAGTTCGACTCGTTGAATGGGCATGCCTTCAGGCATCCCTTCATCAAAGATCATTTGTTCGCCGTTCACACACATTTGGTGGCGCCGTTGAGCAATAAGTACGGTAATCCGGAGTGTCTACCGTATCATGCGCAAGCTCCGCCCCCTCCAGCCCCCGCGCATGGAAATACCTACGATTTTAGTGAGATGGACCGGCAGATTAGAGGGTAAGGGAGTTGTTTTGAGTTGAAATAGTTTTTTTTGTTCGGTTTAGATTAGAATGTTGAAAAGGAAACGAATAATCGGCAAAAATCTATCAAAAATGTCTAGTGTAATATAAAAAAGTTAGCATAGAACGGAAAAAAGAGTGGAAATAGAGCTATTACTATTTATTCTGACTTGTACTAGCTTTTTCTTTTTGATTCAGCTCATAAATATTGAAATTGAGACCAAAAAATCACCAAAATAGACCAAATGTGGCTAGTGTAATATAAAATTTTGCACATAGAGACTCTCAATAAATTTTAAAATACGTTATTAATTGTTACAGTACATTCTGGCACCCTTTGCACTCTAATTTTGGCATTGGAATACAATGCCAAGCGGATTTAGGTTTTCGTGGTGGGACCCAAAATGTGGGCCTAAACTTGCAATTTTTTCGAAAAAAAACTATAGAAATATGAATTTCAGCTCCCGATGTAACGTCTACCAACAATTCAGCGACAGTTCTGGCTTCTGTTCGTCCGAATCGGCGCATTTACACTTGGCCGAACTGAATGAACGAAATCAACAACAAAATATTCGAATTCCGAGGGATAACTCGTTTCCTTTTGGTAAGCAATGTTGTAAGAGCCTTATAAAGTCTATATAAATATAGGGGGAGGTTATCTTCCCACTTTTTGTTCTCAAATTTATATTATCCGTCAATTTTTGATGACTTTTCGACGAAAAAATTGCAAAATCTTAAAAATAAGTTAGAGTTTTGGCTGATTTTGAGTTTCAGTTTACTTAAAATTTATTTTGTCACATTTATGACACTTTAATTTACAATTATCGACTTCTTTTTTTTCAAATTTCGCGATTTTTATGGCAAAAAATTTCAAAAAAAAATTTTTTTTTTAACATTTTTAAATGACCCCTTACCATGTATAGAAACCACCAATACTATTTTTACCACGTTTATTTTCAGAATACCGCCATTCCGAAGACCAATTTCTGCCAGTTTCGTACAAGGACGAGAGCGGAGTGCCCTTTGTTTCGAGGGTTTACTCCCATTCCATGACGTTTGGACTGTTCAGGAATCACTTTGGAATCCCAGCGAGGACGTCTAAACGGTAAGAAAAAAAATTTACAGGTTTTCAAATATTCAAAAAAATCCGTCATAAAGACTTTCTTTTTGAATTTAAGTGATTTTAAATTAAATTCCTGGGAAGAAGTACCGTATTTTACGTTTTTGTGGTCTTCCCTTGGCCTCTCGACACCTGACAGTCTTCGTTTTTTTTATAAGTTTTATAATTTTTTACTCAGTTTGTGGCAAAATTCAAAAAATACGTCATCATGACATTGTTACAGCCCCGGCTGGTGTAGCGGAGGGGGTACTGTACATTAGATTATATATGATACTTACTTACCGAGTTCGGGGCCTGATCCTGCCGTTTATCCCCTAACTAGGGAAGTGTAAATACGAACCCTCACCAAATGATAAGCGACATACGTCATTGAAGAGCCCTTGAAAATGGTGCAAGGCACCATTTTCATTCTTTGCAGAATGCCTTTCCGCGACGACATACTGCAGTCGATACAGCTTACAGTATGCATACTGTAAGCTGTATTATTTTTAGGCCATTTTGCAACAAAAATCTCCCTTTCTCTAGGACAGGAAAAAATCCTCGGTGAGGGTTGCTTCAATAGTGCAGTGGTTGCGGAGTCTGCTGATAAGCCAAAACAAGCCAGGTTCAATTCCCAACTTGGGCAAAATCATTTTTGCGTTCTTGCAGTTAGGAAAGTATTTGCGCTAAAGTTTTACAAACGCTTTAATTTTTCTGGAAGACGGTCGATTACGGTTAAAAACATCAAACCTACATGTTTTTCAAGCTTAAAAAAAGTGAAAAGTGTTTTTTCACCTTATGGGTATTTAAAACCAGTAAATATCATATGTAAAATGGTTTTACTGGCAAGCGCCAAACTTCATAATGATTCTAAGGCCAACCTAGTAGCAATACGTACCACTTAGCGTTTTAAAATAACATTTATTTTGCCCCATAGCAGATATTGCAACTACTTAAGGGACAAATCAACCGTTTATAACTTTTTGCCCTGAGGCATTCTGCAAAAAATGAAAATGGTGCCTTGCACCATTTTTCAAGGGCTTGCCAACGGTGTATAACACTTGCCATTTGGTGAGGGTTCGTTTGTACACTTCCCTAGTAAGGGAAATAATTACCTACATTACAATTCATCTATTACATTTATTGGTACTGAATAAAAGATACATAAGACATAAAACAATTATACAATTACCCTTAAAACTCCCTCATCACACCCTTTTCCTGAGATCGGAGCGCTCGGTCCCCTTCCCAAAAACGGGGGCCGATACGACTGATTCTCCTCTCTTCTTTTCCGAGGAGTTCAGGTTGCGATGAGTTTGCTGTAATAGTAAACTCCTGTTATGACGAGCCTGCGCCGTAACAACATGTTTCAAATATATCCACATGTCATTTTTGGAAGCTCTATTTGCTGTAGACGATTAATAATGATCAGAAAAAAATTAAGGTCACTAATTATTGCTGTTTAGGCTATAGTTCGGTCATGATGACGGATTTTTTGGAAATTTTGTGAATACTTCCAGAGATGCTGGCATGTCCGGCGTATTTTACCAATAGTTGACCAAGGTTGTGGTCAAATTTTTTTTTTTTTTTTATTTTTCTCTATGCCCAAAATTTGTCATGATGACACATTTTTTGGAAATTTTCTTTCACGAGATGTTGGAAAACACGGCGTATTTTACCGATAGTTAAATTATATAAGTTTGTGGTCAAAAATTTTTTTTATTTTTTTATGCTCAAAATACGTCATGATGACGGATTTTTTGGAAAATTTCAAAAAAATTTTTTTTTTTTTTTGTTTTATTTTATTATTTTTATTGTGAATCAAGTCAAAGTAACGCTTGAAAAAAGATATGTCATTATCAAAATATGGCATTATGACGGATTTTTTGGCAATTTTCAAATTTTTTTTTTGGTAAATCAAGATAAATTAACGCTGAAAAATCTGCAGATTCATGTTCAAGAGCCCGTGCGAGGACGGCAGCGCCCCCTATCAATGGACCGTCGTCATGGACGACCAAGTTGTCCTCCCAATCTTCGAAGGCAAAGTCACCGCCGAATGCCGAGATCTCATCGAATTCGACAGACGGTAGTCCCACTATATTTTTTTTGATTCATATATTTTTGATGTGCATTTACAGATTTCTATATTTCCCCCAAGAAATTTGTATTATTTTAGGCATTTCTGTACAAAAAATTCTATTCTTGTTGTTATTTTTGAAGCTTGTTACATTCAAAATATATTTGCCATAGTGTATTACAGATTTTTTAGTTGATTGTTGCCGGAATAAACACTGAAATTTTTGATTTTTGAAATTTTTTTTTAAATAAAATTTATTTTTTTTTTAAATAAAAAAATTTTTTTTATAAAATTTTTTTTATTTTAAAAAAATCTCAAAAAAACCAAAATAAAAATTTTATTTTTCACAAAAAAATCCCGAAAAACCAAAAAAAAAAAGAATTCTAAAAATAAAATTTTCTTTTTCAAAAAAAATTTTTTTTAATAAAATTTTTTTTATTTTTTGTAAAAAACCCTCAAAAATCCCAAAAAATCCTCTAAAATAAAAATTTTATTTTTCAAAAAAAAAATTTTTTTCATTAAAATCCAAAAAAAAATGATTATTCCTCTCGCCGTAAGTGCCATTTGTCCAGCCACAGTCCGAGGGCCTTTTCGTTGAGATGTCTCCACTGTATATTCAACCTCACCGTCTCCAGAGACTGATGGATCCGGGCCTGCGAAGCGCCCATTCCATATTTGGTGAAGCTGTCGCGGACTTCTCGCAGGTCAAAGTCGGTGGAGAAACCTTCGATCACCATTTTCAGGGCCGCTCCGAACATTACTGTTGCGTCGCCAAGACTGAAAATTGGAATTTTTTATGGTAAACGGGAAATTCCAGAAAATATGTCATCGTGACATATTTTATTTGTGAGTCTACAGAGTAAATTTTTTAAAATTTTTCGATTTTTGATATTAAAATGTAATTTTTCATAAATTTTATGGTGGAAATTTTGAAATTCCAAAAAATCCGTCATCATGACACATATAATTATTTAATTTTTCTGCCTAAAATGGACAAAAATTCAAATTTCAAGCCAAAAAATCGACTTTTTCAAAATTTCCAAAAAATCCGTCATCATGACATATTTTATTTTTTAGAATTTTCTACTCAAAAATCGCATAAGATTTTTGTTTTGACCTAAAAAATATTTTGTAAAGTTTTCAAAATCTCCGTCATCATGACGCATTTTTTCTTCAAAAAGTCTCAAACCCCCCTATAAAATCAAATCCGGTCTTACATCTCCTCCAATCGCTCTCTGTGCTGTCGAATAAACCTCCAAGTGACGTGTGCGGCCGCCCGATTCTGCACCAACGCGCCAAAGACCCTTGGCAAAAAGTTGGGTCTGATCGTCTCCCCGTCAAACGCCATGTTCAACAACCTCACCACATTCTGCACATCCTGCGTGGCGGTCAGCGCGATCAGCATTGTGTTGCGTTCGGCCGGCGTCTTGGACTTGAGGTATTCGTTGAGCAAATTTTCCCAGTCATTCATCGTCCCGTGACGAATTCCCTCCTCCAAAACAAGGGGTTGCAGGTCCACGGAGACTCTGGAACGAGGCCATTTTTGTTGGATTACACTTTGAAAGGCACTGTGCAAAATTTTGAATGATTTTTTTGTCGTTTGCACTGTGCAGAAGAACTTTTTTTGGCTTGCACAGTGCGAAAGATTGGATTCTAATTTTGCGCACTGTGCAGCTTTTCAGAAGGTAAAATATGGTTGTATTATGAATTACAGTGAGGTAAAATACATTTACAAAAATTTTTTATATCCAAAACTTTGTAATTCACAGTGAAATACGCTTTCTGGCCACTGCACAGTGCGAAACATTGGATTCAAATTTTTCGCACAGTGCAGTTTTTTAGAAGGTAAAATGTGGATGAATTATGAATTACAGTGAGGTAAAATGACATTACGGAAAATTTTTATCCCCAAGTGTTCGTAGTTCACGGAGCAATACATATTTTTGGCCACTGCACAGTGCGAAAGATTGGATTCTAATTTTTCGCACTGTGCAGCTTTTCAAAAGGAAATATGGTTGTATTATGAATAACCGTGAGGTAAAATTCTTTGACAGAAAATTTTTATGCCCTAAACTTTGTAATTCACAGTGAAATACGCTTTCTGGCCACTGCACAGTGCGAAAGATTGGATTCAAATTTTTCGCACTGTGCAGCTTTTCAAAAGATAAAATATGGCTGTGGTATGAGTAACAGCGGGGTAAAATACGTTTACAGAATAGTTTTATATCCTAAACTTTACAATTCACAGAGCAATACACTTTTTTGGCGACCGCACGGTGCGAAAAGTTAGGTTCAAATTTTTCGCACTGTGCAGCTTTTCAAAAGATAAAATATGGCTGTGGTATGAGTAACAGCGGGGAAATACGTTTAAAGAATAGTTTTATATCCTAAACTTTATAATTCACAGAGCAATACACATTTTTGGCGGCTGCGCAGTGCGAAAGATTTGATTCAAATTTTTTGCACTGTGCAGCTTTTCAGAATTTAAAAATGCGGGTGTAATATGAATCACAGGGAGGTAAAATACATTTACAAAAATTTTTTATATCCAATTTTGTAATTCACAGTGCAACACACTTTTTTATCGACTGCACAGTACGATACGAACTATAAATTTGCATTTTCCGCACTGTGCAGTTTTTCAAAAAGGTAAAATATGGGTGCATTATGATAGCGCGTACTGTAAAATCCTTTTCTAAAAAATTTTGAGGCAAGGCTTGTCTTTATAGCTGCTCAAAAAAGCTTTTTTGACAATTGCACAGTGCAAAATTTACATTTCACTTTATTGCACGGTGCGGTTTAGAAAAATGTAAAATACGGAGTTCCCAAAACATGGTTTTACTGTAAAACCATACTATGTCCATTTTTGAGCGACAAAATTTATTCGGACATCAGAATTCAAAGGTTAAGGAATTCGCACAGTGCAGAAAAATGAACTCAAATTTTTGCACCGTGCAGTTCTCTAAAGTATAAAAATTGGATTTATCAGTCTAGATAGTGTGGAAAGATAACAGTATTTCAAATTTCTTGGTAAAAAATCGCCCTTGCACAGTGCAAAATAGCCTTTAATTCGGTGCACAGTGCAGAAACAAAAAATTTTTGATACAGCACAGTGCAAAAGTAAAAACTGTAAAAATAGGTTAAAATACGGGAATGGAGACTGCACCTGATTTTTCAAAATCACCAATCTTTAAAAAATCTCAAAAACAACGCACGAATTTCGGTCCGCGACCCACTGATAAAACCGATTCTGCGCCTCCTTCGTGCAATTGCTGATCTCCAAGCGACAAGCCGTGTGAAGGAGCTCTGGTTGGAACATTTTGGCCGTGTGATCCTCCGGCTTTTCCCAGCCAATCTCCTCGTAGGTTCGGAGAATCAAATGCCGTTCGAATTGCTGATAACTGGTCAATAATTTGTAGTTATCATCGATCAAGTACTCGATACAACGGAGATTCTGGAGAATTACGATCCATGGAACACGGTCGAGCTCAGTTCCGGCTGAAATACGAGGATAAATATTTTTTTTTTTTTTTTTTTTATTTTTTTACCTTCCACATAAGAGACCAGGTCAAAAGCGACGTCCAGTTTGAGATAACCAGCCTTGACGAAGGCAAACGCATCATTGATAATCACCGCGCGGTCTACTGTAGCGATTCCCTGAAAAAAAATTTTTTTTGATTTTGCACGGTGCGGTCAAAACTGATCGCTCTTTTCTTCGCCCTGTGCGCCGAAAATTGAAAAATAATTTTTGCACAGTGCAACGAAACAAAGCAAACTCATTGGCTGCACCGTGCGGAGAAAAAATGGGAATCTTTTGATTGCACTGTGCGAAAACAACGCAAGCGACAAAAATGCACCGTGCGTAGTTGACGCAAGTTCGACGCACAGTGCAACCTCGTGTCGTGAGGTTTTTGATCGCACAGTGCAGGGAAAAAAGACAATTTCGACTGCACAGTGCAAAATCAATCGGAGAAAAATTTGGCGCAGTGCAAAAAATCGGCAAAACTAAATTGCACGGTGCGTTCTGAAAGAACAAAAATTTCGTCGCACTGTGCAATGAAAGCATAATTGTTTACTTTTGCACAGTGCAATTGACAAAAAAGGTCTGTTGCACAGTGCACAATCAAAAAATGTTTTTTCGCACTGTGCAATGAAAGGATAATTGTTTACTATTGCACTGTGCAAACGACGTTCTTTGGTTGCGCTGAGCAAATAAAAAGAATACAATTCTGAGTGCACAGTGCAAAATCAATCGAAGAAAAAATTCGCACGGTGCAACAAATGTCCAAATTATATTGCACGGTGCGTTCCAAAAGAACAAAAATCTCGCCGCACTGTGCAATGAAAGGACAATTATTTTCTATTGCACTGTGCAATGGACAAAAAAAGTCTGCCGCACAGTGCGCATTTTTTTCAATTTTATTTCGCACCGTGCAATGAAAGTAAAACACTTTTGACTGCACAGTGCAAAAACAATCGAAGAAAAAATTCGCACAGTGCAAAAGATCTCCAAATTTAATTGCACGGTGCGTCCGGAAAAAACAAAAAATGTTTTTTCGCACTGTGCAATGCAAGGATAATAGCTCACAATTGCACAGTGCAATTGACAAAAAAACCTACCGCACAGTGCGCAAATTTTTTCAAAATTTTTTTTTCCGCACTGCGCAAAATTTTTTGAACTGCGATCTACCGTATGATCCCGTCGCAATTGTTTCGCAAATTCCTTATAAATTTCCTCTGTATACAACACTCGATAGAACCCATTGGCATCCGCATTTGCCACCACCCAATTGGATCGCACCGTGCCGAGATCAACCATCACTGAAAACAAAATTGGGAAAATTTCGACTAATTTTGTCGTATTTTAGAGGTCTCATGGGTCGGAAAACTCACCTGGCTCATCGAAAAACCATGTTAATCTGGGAACACTGACTGAACTGGACCGATACATGATTGGAATCGACCATTTCTCCGTGACATTTGGATACCTCTCCTCTTCAAGGTAAAGGAATCGGGACTGAAAAAAAAATTAAGGAAGAATTCCTCGGACAGCCCGAAAATTCAAGTTTTATCGGTCTGTCGGGAAAAAAACGGCGGATCGTCGCGCTTCGGAATCGCCCATCATCGCTTTGCGACTGCAAGCCGCGGATTGGGATTTGGTGCGCGACAGCGGCGAGGCGAGACATTTTGATGCGACGATCCGCCGTTATTTTTCCGACAGACTGATATTTATTTTTTTTTTTGTTTTTTTGCACTGTGCAGAAAATTTTTTCCACTTGCACCGTGCAACGGAGAGAAAATTGAAATTTTGATTCGCACTGTGCGAGAAAAAAGAAAATCGCGATGGAATTTCATTGCACTGTGCAAACAATTTTTTTCTCGGTTTTCGGCGCACAGTGCAAAGAAAGGAGCGATCAGTTTCGACCAGAGATTGCCACGGCTCCGGAGCCGGCTCTTGGCTCCGGCTCTGAGCGGCTCCGGCTCCGAGCCGGGAGCCAGAGCCGGAGCCGGGAATTTTGGGTGCGGCTCCGGCTCCGGAGCTCAAAGTCGGAGCCAGGCTTCTCAGCGTTCAGAAAAATAAAAATTCCGTGATCTTGTTAAACCAAATTGCTTGAAAAATAGTGGGAAGGATGTGTTGCATACAACTTGGCTTCAAAAACGTTGGGTGTATGACCTCTGGCATTAATAACTTTTATTTTTGGAAAAATATTTTTTTTTAATTTTTTGCACGGGAGCCGAGATTCGGAGCCGAAGAACTTTTTAAATTTTTCATGGGAGCCGGAGCCGGAGCCGAAATTTTGACCGTGGCAATCTCTGGTTTCGACCGCACCGTGCAAAGTAAAAGAATCAAAATTTTGATTTGCACTGTGCGAAAAAAACTCTTTCTTTTGCACTGTGCGTCAAACAAAATATTTTGCACAGTGCAAAGAAAGGAGCGATCAGTTTCGACCGCACCGTGCAAAGTAAAAGAATCAAAATTTTGGTTTGCACTGTGCGAAAAAAAACTCTTTCTTTTGCACTGTAAGTCAAACAAAATATTTTGCACAGTGCAATCAGAAGAGCGATAAGTTTCGACCGCACCGTGCAAAAGAAATTTTTGTTGCACTGTGCGAAAGTAGTTTCTCTTCTGCACTGCGCGACACAAACATTCTTTGCACTGTGCGGCAAAAAAAAATCGTTGCACAGTGCAAATTGTGCGACAAGTTCCCATTGCACTGTGCAAAATCAAAAAAAAAAAATTTTTTTATTGCACAGTGCAAAACGTGCGACAAGTTCCCATTGCACTGTGCAAAATCAAAAAAAAAAACTTTTTTATTGCACTGTGCAAAAATTAGTTAATCTTCTGCACTGTGCGGCAAAAAAAATTTTTTTTTTACTTTTTTTTATATACGGAGCATTCGCAGATCAACTTACTTGATTATGAATCAACATTTTGGTCCCATCCACATTCAAAGACACTCTGATAAAAGGGTATCCCACTTGAGTTGTCCAATCAGCAGCCAGCTTATTTATTGTCAAATTCCCATTTGCGTTGAGATCTGCATGCTGAAATCGTATTTCAGAAAAATAACATCGTATTTTTGTCAGAAATTTACCATAAACTCCTCAGGAAAAAACAAGTGCCCTCAGGGCAAGTCGCAACTTACCTGCTGAACAATATTCCACAAGTCCACACCTTCCGCATTCTTGTAAGCAAACGCATTTAGGTATTGCTGAAGGGCTCGTTGGAAGGCGTAGGGCCCAGTCAGAGCTGAGACCATCTTCAGGACGGCTGAACCCTGGAAAAATTGAATTTAGAACGTGTTTTGGGCAGAAAGTTGGATTTGCACTGTGCGGAAGAAAAGCAAACGGAGTTTTGGACTGTGCAGTATAACAAATACTGCCTTTTTTGGTTAGTAGATTCTTTACGGCTATTTTTTACTATTTAGAACCCAAAAATTACCAAAATTTGACTGCACAGTGCAAAAAATTAAAGAAATCAATTTTCGCACAGTGCAAAGAAAAATTGATTGGATACCGCACCGTGCAGTGCAGACTTTAGAATCCAATTTTTATTTTTGGCGTTATACAGATGCCATTTTACGTATTATCACATAAAAAGTCAAAATTTCATGTGCACTGTGCGGAGAATTACAGAAGCAAATTCTGCACTGTGCAATTGAAAACCAAGCAATTTCTTTGCACTGTGCGGTTGGAAAATTATTCCGATGTAATTTTTATGATGTCATAAGCTCTCATTTTTACGATGCCATCAAAAAAATTTTTAAAAAAATTTGCACAGTGCAAAAAAATCAATTTTATTTTTCCGCACTGTGCAATTGAAAACCAAGCAATTTCTTTGCACTGTGCAATGGGAAAATTATTTCCATGTATGTTTTATGATGTCATAAGCTCTCATTTTTACGATGCCATCAAAAAAATCTAAAAAATTTTTTTGCACTGTGCAAAAAATCAATTTTATTTTTCCGCACAGTGCAGTCAAAAAATATCAAAAATTCCCACCTTATTATAGGAGATAGCGTCAAACAAAGAGGTGATCTGACTAGGGTCTTCGACCTCTGTGGAGATGGAATGCGAGGTATGGAACCCATCCATCTGAGTGCTGTATAAATGGTTGTCCAAAAAGTACGTTGTCATCATGCTCCAGTCGGGATGCAGGGCGTCCACGCAAAGGAATTCCATGTAATTCGCGAAGCCCTCGTTGAGCCAGAGGTCGTTCCACCATTTCATAGTAACATAGTTGCCGAACCACTGAAAAATTTAACCTTTTTGGTCATGGTTAATATAAAAAATAGTTTTTTAAGCTTATTCGGCCTCAAAAAGTCTCTTAAATTTTTCAAGCACTATTTCGTCACCGAAAACTACCATTTGCCATCATTTTAAGCCCTTGAAACAGAATGCCAAATCTGGCGGGAAAATGAAAATTCAAATTTTTTTGGTCTCAAAATGTCCCTTAAATTTTTTTCTCAATATTTTTCACCGTGAACTACCATTTCCCATCATTTTAAGCCCTTGAAACAGAATGCCAATTTTGGCGGGAAAACGAAAATTAAATTTTTTTTGTCTCAAAATTCCCCAAATGCCTACCTGATGAGCAATTTCATGACAAACCACCAATGCGATGACTTCTTTCGACTTTTCCGGCGACTTTTTTGGGTCATATAGCAACATGTTGTCCCTGAATGTAACCAATCCCCAGTTCTCCATAGCACCTTCAGCAAAATCGTCCAAAGCTAGCAAATCTGAAAAACAATTCTTCTATCTCTTTTTACAACCATTTTCAGATATAACCTCTCTTTTTAATCCGTCATTATGACGGATTTTCTAGAATTTCCCCCAAAAATCTCGATTTTTCTCGATTTACCTGTTTTTTGAAGTGGAAATGATATGTTAAAGTAGTTCTCGAAGTAGCTGAGAGCCCTAACCGTTGTCTCGAGGCCAAATATCGCCTGATTCTCGATGTCCGGCACGTTGGAAAATAGATTTACTTCAATTGGCTTCTTAGTCGTCATTGTCATCATTCGCTCCTTCTGGAAGTCGTCCAAAACGGCAAACGCCAAAATGTAGGTGCTCATTTTGAGGGATGGAGCAAAATGGTCAATTTCCAAACTAAAAATGAGGAGGTTTTTCATGATTTTTGGAAGTTTTGGGGGTTTCTCGAAATTTTTGGATATTACGCTTGATTTTTTGATGGGAAAATGGGGGAAAACTTGGCTTTAATGATGACTAGAATATCCAAAAATCTTTTAGAGACAGCTTTGACTTATTATAAACTAGTTTACTTTAGAAAATTTAAGAAAACTGGAAAGTTTTTATCTCCGCACTGTGCAGACGAAAAAACATTGAATTTATCGAAAGTAAGGTAAAATACGGGCAAAACAACGGAATTTTAATTATAAGAGCAGTCCTATTTTACAATTAACACTAATAAAATTTTTATTCTCCCGCACAGTGCGATTAAAAATTGACTCTATTTTTTGCACAGTGCAGATGAATTTGATGGCCGAGTTTGCACTGTGCAGTACAAGTCGTCGAAATTTCAATTGGAATTTAAAACCAGGAGCAAACGTCGTATTTTACCATGCTTTAAAATTTGGTTCTCCCGCACAGTGCAAAGAAAATTTTATTTTAATTTTTTGCACCGTGCAATCATAAAATGTCATTTCGTTTCGGGAAATAAATAAAAATAAAAGAATAAGGACTTACTCGACTCCATAATCCTGCGTTCGTATTAGATGAGTGTTAGCTCGGGCGATATGATGCTTTTCTCGGACTATTGACACATCAAAAATCGCTTTAAATTCGGGCTCATCAAAGCAGGGAAATACCCTACGGGCATTTGTAGGTTCGAATTGAGTCACTGCCGAACGTCTGAAAAAAATCGCCGATTTTTTGTCAGAAATTTTGAAATTTCGGAGAAAACAAAATTTGCACGGTGCAGAAATTTCCATTAACTGTTTTGGACAGTGCGATTAATGAAATTAGAATTTTTTTACACTAGACCCTTTTTTGAGACAAGATTTTATCAGGTGTCTCAAAAAAATTCCAAACAGCCCCTGCACAGTGCAAAAAATTAAACGACATTTCTTCCGCACTGTGCAGCCAAAAATTAAATGCATTTTTCTCGCACAGTGCAAGTTAAAATCCCATCAAAATTTTGCACAGTGCAAGAAAACAACTTGTAATTTCCTGTACAGCACACAGTTAAACAATTTTTTCTATCAACGTCTGGGAAAATCATAATTTATATTTTTTGCACTGTGCAGTGGCAAAACGCTCCGTATTTTGCCAAAAAATCGCTTCGCTTACTTTTCAAACCCTTTGATATGGTCGGTATGCCGATTCACATACAATCCCTGCATGTAATTCTTCTGGATTTCCCCGGAAAACTGCACAACCATCTTGATTTTCTCGCCTTTGTCCAATTTTATGCTGGGCAGGAAGGCCCATTGTTGTAAGCGGTCGCAAATCATCTGAAAATTGAATCACTGAATCAAGTATTGTTCATTTTACATGCTATTTAGCAGTAATTTTCAATTTATAAATGTTAATTTTAAAATTCCCGCCGTTTTTGGCATTCTGTTCTAGGGGTCAGAAAATTGTAAAATACGACAAATATTTTTGTCTGATGTTTTTAAATGCCTTCCGAGGCCTTCTCACGCCTTTTGACACTACTAGAAAATTCAAGATTTAAAATTCTCGCCATTTTTGGCATTCTGTTTTAGGTGGTTTGTATTGCCAAAAATAGCAAAATAAAGCTAAAGTAAGACTAATAAGACTCAGCCGACCCTTTTGTAACAATTTTCAATAAATTTTAAGGTAAAAATTATATTATCCATGACATCTTTGTTCAATTTTCACCTAAAATAATATAATTTCCCGCTTATTTTATGATTTTTCGGCCAGAAAAGGCTAAAAAATAACTTTTATTATTATTTTTCCCAAAAAAAATTACATTAACCTACCAATCTGGCGTTTATTTTCTGTCCCTGAACATACAAAGCATAAGATTTGATTTTCAATTCGGATTGATGGATCACAATGAGGCCGGTTTGATTTACCACCTCCATGTCAATGTCGACCTGGCCCGTGAAAATGAGGTCCGTGAGGTTGGGATGCATGAAAAGTTTATAAAATACGGGCCGAACCGCCTGAGGTAATCGGAGCTGCCGCCATGGGTATATCTGCCCACAATCGTCGTTGATCTCCTGCTCCAGGGTGGGCGGTAGAGGCGAGGAATTCAGCTAAAACAATATTTTTTACCTTGGAGTTTCGGCAGAGTAATAAAAAAAAGTTTTTTATTATTGCACTGTGCGGTTGATTTTTGACTGCACAGTGCAAAAGAATTACAAAACGCACAGTGCAGTCCACTTTTTATTGAGCAGTGCCCTTCGCACAGTGCAATCCCAACTCTCATGTTGTCGCTTGGACGGTTTGTTTTGAATGCACCGTGCAAACCAAAAAATTTGTCGCACAGTGCGAGAAGGCAACAAAACGCACTGTGCAACCTATTTTTTGGTTGCACCGTGCAATAAAAGTGAAATTTCAGATTGCACTGTGCGGCCGATTTTGTCGCTTGCACTGTGAATGTGCAAAATAAAACAAATTTCTCTCGCACTGTGCAAAAACAAAAATGATTTTCTCGCACTGTGCATCCAAAAAAATTATTCTTTTTGCACCGGAAAAATTTTAAAATTTTTTCAATGTTATACTTGCCTGTTCAAAGAAATCACAATGTCCAATGTAAGTGTGAAACACGTAGATACCAACCAAAGAACCCAACAAAACCAAAATAACCAGCAATGTGAATAACAAACAAATTCTACATATCTGTGTGCAAAGCGGCCGAGGGCTCGGCCGTGCCTCCGGATTCGGTCGATCCGGCCGCTTCAGACGAATGGAATGTGCGGACCCCCATTTGGCTGAAAATTCAGGGTAAAATACGAAGAGCTTTATATTTTTTGGAAATTAAAAATTGGCTTTACAATAAAAAATTCAGTGTAAAATACGGCGACATCCATACACTTTGCTTAAACATTGCAAAACCCAATTACAAAACCGTTTTAACGCTAAATGAAAAAAAGCAATCCTCAAGCTCCATCGCACCGTGCAAAAGTCCGATTGATGATTTCTTGCACCGTGCGGTAATTTTTGCGTTCTAAATTCAGCCGCACTGTGCAAAAATCCCAAAGTTTTTCTTCGCACAGTGCAATCTCACAAATCTGACTGCACCGTGCAAGTGAAAATTCAAAAATAGAAATTTTTCCTTGCACGGTGCAGAGAAATGAAAAAAAAAATTTGCACAGTGCAAACAACAAGGTTCATTTTGCACGGTGCAAAAAAACGAATGTGTTTTGTCGCAAGTTTTGCACAGTGCAATTGCAAAAATCTGATTGCACTGTGCGAAAATTACGAAACTTTTTTTGCACAGTGCAGAACGAATCAATCCGTTGTCGCAGCTTTTGCACAGCGCGACCGAAAAAATCTGATTGAACAGTGCAAAAAACAAAAAAGAAGATCCTCCGCGCACAGTGCGGTCCCGCGACTCACGTGGTTCGGTGTTTTCGCCGAAGCCATTGGCCTCGTCGTACAAGAGATGCGAGGTGGGCGAGGACATGCCGTTCAGGGTCACCTTCCACGCGTTCAAGTCGTCGTTTTGGGCATGTTGCGCTGCGATTATTTGCTGAATCAGGCCCAGTTTTCAGTCCGATCTTTGATTTTCTGCAAAAAAAAAGGAAAAGATTGTACTAAAATGTCTGATTCAAGGAACCGCGTGGAGATGGCTGATTTGCTGATTGTAATCTGGAACACACAAAAAAGCAAAAAAAATCATGGCGAGGAAGTAAAAATGGGAAATTTTTTGTATTATAGTAGGTTTTTTGATATTTGTAGTAAAAAAAATTGTTTAAAAATGAAATTTTTGGTATAAAAAGTGGTTAAAATACAGTAATCTTTATTTAAAACCTCTTTTTTACAGTAATTTTTTCGAAGTTTCCATTTTGCACCGTGCAAATTTCCAAATCTTTCCAAAAATCATTGCACAGTGCGAAAAAACAAGTCATTCTTTTAATTGCACAGTGCAAAAATAGCGACAAACGTCTGCACGGTGCGAATTTCACCTTTCGCTTCGTTTCGCACAGTGCAGTCCAAACTTTACTTTCACTGCACTGTGCGGAGGAAAAAATGTTTTTGGTTGCACTGTGCGGTAGGATAAGTGTTATCGCAGTGCACTGTGCGGGAAAATCAAAAATTTAAAACCGAAAAAGCATACGGTAACAAATTTTTTCGAACCTTGAAATTGCACTGTGCAAATTAAAAATTTATTTTTTTTATCGCACAGTGCGACAAAACCAAAATTTTGACTGCACCGTGCGGCTAAAAAAATAAAAAAAAACTTAAATTTAGGGTACTGTAAAAATCCAAAAATATGTGTTAGGCATAAAAATACTGTAAAAGAATTATCCAAGCGACTTTTGAACTAAAATTTGCAAAAAAACATTAATTTATTATATTAAACTTCTAAATTGGATGACTAAAAACAAAGCGACTTCTGAATCAACCGAAAACAATGGGAATCCAGGAGGCCGGCCCCCGATTATAAGACGCTTATTATGCTGTGGGCAAACAGACGCCGAAAGCCGATTTCTCGCCCAGAATTTGGCCACAAACAATCAAGGATTAGGCCAATCGACGCGTCTGAGGCCACTTGACAGTTCACGGAAAGGGTAAGGAAAGGGCTGAGGTGGTTTGGAAGGACGGGAAGTTCATTTACTGATCAGTTGAGGGAAGGGGAAGATGAGTTTTTGAAGGGGAAACACAAAACTACAGTTTGAAGCGCTAAAATAAGGTAAAATATGGTGAAGTGTGGTGAAAGATGGTATGATCTGGCAAATTCGATATGAAAAATTTAATCTGCATGAAAATTAAGGTCAAAGTAGAGCATTTGCAGTTTAAGGAGGCTGATTTTTTAGAGGGAAAACACAAAATTTTGATTTGTAATGATGACATTAGATAAAATAAGGTCAAAAATTGCAAATTTTGAGCTCTCCTTACAGAATTTTTATGAAAAAATACAAACTAAAGGGCTAAATGCGTATTTTACAAAGTAAAAATCTATTCCGCACAGTGCAAACAAAACAAAAATCCATTTTTTTGACTGCACTGTGCAGAAAATTTAAATCATCAGAAATTGCACTGTGCAAAAAATCGAACAGTAAAAAGTTGCATATTTACAACGCAAACTGTGAATAGCGTATTTTACATTTTTTTTTTATTTTTTTGTTTTCGCGGTGCAAAAAATCAAAGGTCATTTCCACTGCACAGTGCAAAAATAAAAAAATTCCCTTGCACTGTGCAGGAGATAGAAATTGGCTAAATTTTGAAAAATTACGAAAAGCAGACTCACTGCTCTTCCTCACGACCCCCAAGGAATAAGGAAGAACTTCTGAAAGCCTGTCGATTTGATTACCGACAGTAAAAGGGGCCCCTCAAAGTTGTAAATTCCTCGTCAGACAAGCAAATAGACGAGAAAGAAACGTCTGAAAAAGAAGCAAAAATGATCAAAGCGTCTTGAAATTACAGTACTAGCCTTTTGTAACCAACTTTTTCCCCGATTTTTGGCCAAAATTTATATTACACATGAGCAGATGCGAAAAAAATCGAAGAAATCGACCAGAATTCCGGCTCAAACCCATTCGCATTAAATCAGGGACAAGTTGTCTTGCGGAATTGGCACGCTGGACGCGTCAAGTCCATTAAATCCGGGCCCCATTAAGCGGGCCCCCGACAGAGCGGCCGTTCGATCATTGCACGTGTGATCCGCCGCCCGCCCCGAGGACATATGAGTCGAGGGTGACAGGAAATTTGTGACAACCCCATGATCGATGGCTCGTGTTGTGGGCGGATGTTTTGTCTGCGTTTTGGGGAGTTTTGCGGGATTTTTGAAAAATATTGGTGATGGAGAAGGTTTGAAGGTGAATTTCGGGCATTTTGAAAGGGGAAATGATGGATTTGAGTATGATAAATTAGAGGGTATACTGTAATTGAGATTTGTTGTAAAAATCATGAGGGTTGATTGCGATATTCATATATTTTTTGAGATTTTTTGAGTTTCAGAGCTCTTTTATCATGGAGAAGATTCAAAGATAAAATTCAGTTACATTTGGAGAAAAAAACCGTGGATTTTGGATTTTAAATTGAGAATCATGATCTTCTTGTGCTTTACTGTAAAAATCTCGCAATTTGATTTATATCTTTCCAAATTTTTTGAGATTTTTTATTTTCCATCTAATCTCAAGTATAATATGTTTATAAAAATTAAATTTTCGACCGATTCCAGAATAAATCGTGATCTTGAAATCCAGTAAACTCTCTTCTCTTACCGTACTCTCTTTTCCCTACAAAACTCTTCAATCAATTGTAGCATTTCGCAACAAAAAATTTGACGAAATGTCAAACAATTTCCATGTTATTTTTCCACCGAAATTCTCGTCGGATGCTGATATTTACTGTCGAAATTGATGAAAGAAACCAAAAAACCACCAACGTTTAATCGTTCCGGCATGAAATCCAAGAAGAAGTTGGTCTTGCGCGTCTACGGCCTCCCCAGTCACTGTAATTTAGCTGATCTGAAGACGTTTTTCCAAAATTATGGACCCGTCAAGCACTTGTTGGTGGCCAAAGGACGAACCTCGGCTGCGCTCGAGTTTGTGAAGCCTGAACATGCCCAGCGCTTCCTGAACTTCAAGACAATCCGCTTTGGAGAGGCAAGTTTTCCAGCTGATGTCGGTGATCTCAAGAATAACACAATTTCTGGTTCGTTTTTGGTTTATTGCTTTGGTTTTTAGGATGTCTTGGAAATTCATGAGTCCGACTACGAGTTCACCGTGTCCAAGCGCTACATTCTGCGGAAGTTGATTGAGGAATTTGGCAAAGAAGGAAAGCCTTTGGTCTTTGAAGAAGAAGTTCAATTAATCCGCGAAAAAGTCGGTCTGAAACCTGAAGCTGTAAGTAATTTTTGTTCTTTATGATGTTCTGATGTTTAGGTCCGCGAAAGGCTTGATTTTGTCCAAAGACTCAACAATTATATCCAACAGTTCTTCACGGAAGAGGTTGAAGTGAAACCATTTGGCTCGACCTTGACCGGATTTGGCTTGATGGATGCGGATTTGGTATGTTGTGACCCATTCTTTTATTTTCTTTCTGTTTTTAGGACTTAACCTTCATTACCGATCCGAATGTGCCGTTCCAACCAACTGATGTTAGTGGTTTAGATCTCAAGGCTATGGATCTTGATGAGTTGAAGTCCAGAAAGCTCCGAACTCTCGAATGGAGATGTATTCAGACTAATGGTAGGGATATTTCTCTTTTTTAAGATCAATATATATGATTTTGACATCAATTTTTTTCTTCATGATGTCTAATATAATATCGTTTAGTTCGAGTGGAATTCCTCGCCCGATTGTTGAAGCAATATGAAGCCGAGAGCGGTGAAGTCTCGGACGTCAATTTCATAACTTCAGTTCGAGTTCCTTTGCTCACGTTCATGCACCATCACGTCGCCTGTGATCTCTCCATTACCAATGTGCTCGGAGTCAAAAAAGCCGAACTTTTGCAACTTACAACTCAAGATTATCCTGGTAAGTGGTTTTGAATATATTTTTGATTTCTCATGTTTAGAGCTGACCAATCTTTTGTACTTTTTCCGGCTATGGGCGCGGTGCGCGGGCCTCTTCAAATCCAATGAACACCCGACCGGAGTCTTCTCGTCCTACGCGTTCTCCTTGATTTTCCTGTGCTATTGTCAATATGCGAAGGTGCTGGGACCACTGGACGGGAATGATATCGTAAATGGAGTTGCTGACGGGACGAAATTGACCTTTATCGGAGGAAATCCCGGAAATATCAAGGATTTTGTGATTGTAAGTGAAAATCTTTGGAAATTTTTGGGTAAAATACGTGTCTTCTTGCTCTTGTATGATTTTCTAGGCATTTCAAGCCTTTGGTGGGGTTTTGAGATACATTTACGACCATTTTTTATTCTTTTTTGCCTAGTATAATATAATTTTGTCGAATTTTCAGGGATTTTTCGAGTTTTGCCTGGAAGTTTACAAAACCCCGAATGTTCTTTGCCCAAATAACGCTACAATCGTTCCGTTGGACCAGTTCCAGACCCCAGCCTCCTTCTACAGCCACGGTTTCAAGGTCAGTCAGGTCTCCAATCTCCAAGACCCAATTGAAATCACCCACAATGTAACTCAATCACTGAACAAGGAGTTCTTGGACAAGTTCCTAGACCGTGCCAGAGATGCGGTGGAGGCGTTGCGAAACCTGGAAGGCGATTTTGGACTGGCCAAAGAACTCTTGAATTGTTTGGCCAGAAGAAGCTCGAGAGTTGTGAGCCCGGAGCTGGAGAAAATGTGCATTGATGGATAGATTAGGAGCTGTTTGAGGGTGTACTAGACTATGGTGTCAAAATTCCAAAGAAAAATGAGGGGTTTTACAGATTTTTTGAAATTTTTGCCATGGATAATATAATTTTTTCAAATTTTTAAAAATTTCGGTGTTGAAAAGAGTCTAGAAGGTGCAAAATGGCTTCTCGGTTAAAGAGTTACTGTAGATTTTCCATTTTTTCCTAAATTTTTTGGATTTTTTCACTTTCTCAGGAAATTTTTGATCAAAAAAAGTTGATTTTCTTGTAGTTTTAGACTAAAAACAATTTTTTTTTGTTCATTCTAGATTTTTTAAGATGTTTCCTTATCGATTTGACGGGTGATTTATTGTTTTTTGTTACTTTTTTTTATTTTTTTTAATAAAATTATTTTGCAAAATCATAACTAAAACTTTCAAAAAAATGAGGCGTAGATGGTCCAGTAGAACCTAAGACACTTGCAGTCAGGTGTAAAGTAAAAATTTGAGGGCTAAAATACGGAATTGGGCCGATTTTTGACCATTTCCCGGAGCTGTGGAAGGCCCTCAATTCGAAGCCGATGCTCGTCCAAGAGTGGATGGTGATCCAAAATATGGGAGTCGAATAGATTTACGAACCGGGAGAGAACCTCGGCCACGCTGAGGTCCGCCAATGTTACCTGAAATTTGGAAAAATTGGGGGTAAAAATTTTGGTGATTTTACGGGGGTGTTTGAGGAAAAAGACTTTTTTTTGTCATAAAATTTCGTATTTTAGCTTTTGGTATTTTCCAAAATTTAAAGAAAAAGCAATGCTTTTACTCCATTTTTGTGGAGGAAATTTTTTATTTTGCATTTTTAAGCATGCTAAGTCTCAAAAAAAACTTTGCGAAATCCAATTTCTCGTATTTTACCCTAAAATACAGGCGTTTCCGGGATTTTTTGCCGATTTTTTTTGATATTCTACAATTTTTTTGCCATAAAATTTCGTATTTCAGCTTTTGATATTTTCTAAAATAAAAAAAATATTTTTGATTGCTTTAAAAAGCAATGTTTTTACTCCAGCGACGTATTTTACCCTCTAAAATCGCTGGAACTTCGTCAATTGAGGAAACTGAAAAGTATTGTTTTTCTTCGATGTAAGTGTCCAATTTAGGACAATCGATGGCGCTGATTTCGAAAATGACATTCATCATTTTTTGATCGTTACTATTTTGGTGAAGCAGTACTGTAAAGTAGTAATTTTTTTGAATTGTTTTCACAAATACGCGATTTTTTTGGGTTTTCGATGGTGCTGATTTCTAATAAAAAAACAAATAAGATTTTCGGAATCAGCACTATTGGAAACCCCTAAATCGAGTATTTGCGAAAAAAATCCTAGAAATTACTACGTTACAGTACTGCTTAAGCAAAATAGTAACAATCAAAAAAAAGATGAATGTCATTTTCGAAATCAGCGCCATCGATTGTCCTCACTTGGACACTTACATCGAAGAAAAACAATACTTTTCAGTTTCCTCAATTGACGAAGTTCCAGCGATTTTAGAGGGTAAAATACGTCGCTGGAGTAAAAGCATTGTTTTTTAAAGCAATCAAAAATACTTTTTTTTATTTTACAAAATATCAAAAGCTGAAATACGAAATTTATGGCCAAAAAATTGTAGAACATGACAAAAAATCGGCAAAAAATACGAAAAACGCTCGTATTTTAGGGTAAAATACGAGGAACTCAATTTCCCGACGTTTTTTCTGAGGCTTAGCGTCCTTAAAAACGCAAACTAAACATTTTCCTCCACAAAAATGTAAGAAATTTGTTGATGTGGCTCAAAAACTCACCTGATCCGAGATAAAATACGGATTGCTCCCCAATCTTCGCTCGAGAAAGTCCATAGTTGGATTGAGGACGTTCTCCTTGAAGTCTAGCCAAGATTCGTTCTGAAAATCGTCGAGATTTAATTAGCTTTTTGGGCTCCAAACTCTATTAAATACGACATGGATATTATACAGTGACGGACTTGAAACAGTTGCAAAAAATCTATCATTTTGCATCCGGGAAAATATCAAAAATGTAGCAAAATACCTCCCTCTTCAAGTGAAAAAACTTCGTTTTTTAATCCTAGCTTTTTCACTTTGAAAGGGAGGCATTTTGCTACATTTTTGGATACTTTCCGGATGCAAAATGATACGTTTTTTGCCATTGGATCAGGTCCGGCATTGTAGCAAATTTTGACTGATTTGGATGTAAATTTTGGAGTAAGCAAGTGCTGAAACGTGTGGTTTTGAGCTCTGGAGGCCTGGTAAATTGCCTGAGAGTATTTCTCAAGGTTGTAAAAAAATTTTTATGATGATTATATTGCACTTGATATTAGAATATATAAAATTTTTGTCGAAATGCTCACTTACCCGTTTCTGATAGTCTCTGGCCAATGTGTAGCGTATAATCGGCATCAATTCGTTGTGGATTCGGTCCACGTATCGCATAATTTCTTCAATTTCTCGCTGCTCAATTGCGGATTCTCCGTAAAGCCCTACAAGAAGTTGGTTACAGTAACCCACAGAAGTTTTTTTTTGACTTGAATAAGCCTTTTAGAGGCTTATTATTAGATTTCAACAAGTTTCGAGAATTATTTCTATGTTTTTCGACAAAAATTTCACAGTGCAGATATTATACTTGACATGTATAATATAGCAATTTTAATGGTCTTTCAGGCATGCTCAATGTTACAAATAGCTTGATGGTGTGATAAAAAGACATTTAAAACAATATTCACCAAAAATTTTCCCTTTTTTTGACCAAAATTTCACCTGATTTAGACAAGTGTAATATCCGCACAGTGCGATGACTAAAAAATTATTTATTTCTTTTATTTCTCACCAAACCGTCTAGCCAATGTTCTTCCGATCTCAACTGTGCCCGCTGCTGTACAATGCCCTTTGATTCGGAGGACGGGCAGGCGGACTTCTGGGGGAAGCGAGACTAAATCAAAATACCTACTATAATATAAAATATTTGATAGAAATATGATTATAATTAGATTAATAGACAATTATGAGGTCTGAAATAACTCCTACTACCTTTAGTTTTGTACTGTCTCCATTCCGGAACAGTCAATCGGACATCTTCGTATTCGACACCAGCCATGTGGAAGATCATTCGAAGGCCTTCGGCTCGACTCCAACCCGGCAAACTGAGCAATTCATACTTCAAGGCGATCACCATTTCGATTTGAGCACTAAAAATTTTGATTTGGCCAAAAAATTATATTATCCATGATGACTAAATCAAAGAAACTGATGTTATTCTCCCGATTGACCTCGAAACAACTTCAAAAAGGTCGCTAAACTCCTTTTAGACCCCCAAGATTCCATTACCGTAATCCCCACTCGAATCCAGAACTGGGAATGACCAGAAAAACGGATCCCGTTCATCCCGACTAATAAAAATTTCGAACGCCGGCGAGGGTGTTTTCGCAAATCAGAAGGGTTCTTTTCCTTGTTCCAGCCGGCCCTTGCAACTCAATACTGTTCCCATTTGTTTTTCTCGAGTGATCGCGCTTGTCAGGGGCCGGTCACTCTTCAACCGCAAAAAAAGCGGAGGATTTGTGGACCGGAGGGCTTGAAATGAGCAAATTATGAAAAAATATTGAACACAAGTTCCAATCCAACTCAGAACACATTCAGTTTGCCATCTAATTTTAGAATTCATACAAGAAAAAAAGGCAAAAAATAGAACTTCAAAGTTTATGGACTAAAACAATATAAAAACTACTTTAATTTATACAGAACGCTAAAAACATGGGAAATTAGGATGAAATGTAGAAGAGAGCTGCTGTAAACAATGTGAAAGTGAAAAAAATCTTGATGTAGACAGTAAATTTTGAGGATAAATTGGGTAATTTTGTTGTACTAGGGGGGACTGGAGTTGACATTGGAAAACTGAGCAAATCAAGTGTTCTTTTCGAATCTACTTGTGATAAAAAGAGACTACAAGCTTCATAGAGGCTTTGACAGTGTGATAAACAAGGTTTGAGAGACATCCGACTTCACATCGTGCAGGCCCGAGGCTCTTCTTCTGGCTCGTCGAAGAAGCTGGACAGGTCGTTCGAACGCGGGCTACGGATCTCCTCTTCCTCAAGGGTGGCGCCCAAATGTTGTGCGGTCTTGTCCAGGACCCTCCTCGACTTCTTTGTGCTTCTTTTCGGATGTGGGGTGCCAGCGCGGGCATTCGCACTCTTCAAATCTCCTTCGACGGACCGATCATGATGGAATGTATCGATGTTCTCCGCAAATTTGGGCTTCAACTCCATCTTCTTTCGTCCCTTTCCAACTTTTAAGGCAGTCCGGACCATGGGCCGTTCCACTTGATCGCCCTCGATCTCTTTCACCGAGCTCGCATCATCTTGAATGTCTCCGTACATGGTGGTGTTGGCGCCAGAAGTCTTGTCCACAGGTGAATTGACCTAAAATGACGGAATCTTACAAAAGATTACATAACATTACATAAAATTTTGAAAAAATTATATTATTCATGAGATCAACTGAGAAATCTCGACTTACAACGGAATGAAACGCGTCATCGTCTTCTTTGAGCGGAATGAGACCAGCAAGAACAGTCTAAACACCAATTCAATACCAGTTTAAGCGACTTACGAAGCTGTGAGGTTCGGGAATTACTCCAACAAGCCCAACAACCATCTTTCTTGCGACGGTACTGATACTCATGGGTTCAAAACGCGCAACTTCCATTGATTCTGGGTAGCTGTGACCGACTGAAACAACCAAAAGAATTATCGATCTCAACCGATGAAAAGCTGATATTACCCATGGCCTAAAAATCAGAAAAACAGAAGAAAACCTTACTAGAACAGCGTTTGATAGCCGACTCATCGCATTCCGGTGGTGGTTCGGAGGTGCTCGCGGGCGAGGAATACTTGGTATCGGTCGATTTCGAAGGATTGTAGATTTCAGGCGTCGCAATTCGTCCGGAGGAATAATTCTCGGCCAAACGATTGCGGAAGTCCTTCAGAATCAAGTAATAGTTTCGGGAGACCCGAACGACATTCTTGACAAAAAAGTTCTGAAAGAAATTGACAAAAATAGACATTCGATATTGTAGTAGGCAAGAAAATTCAAGACCTGTCAATAAAACCTTGCTATTCAAGGAAATTGTTGTCAAACTACCTAAAAACAAAGCCAACAAAAGTGAAAAACAACTTACAGAGCCATCTTCGACGCCATGTGGAGATCTGATCTCAAAACCGCACAGAACTTGGAGGGACAACAAAAGTCGTTGAAGAAGGACGAAGAAAAAGTCGATCCGCTCATAGTTTCTGGTCTGAAATTGTAACTAATTGTCTTTTCTATCTAATTACTTCAATTTCAACTTCAGTTTTATCATTTTCCTAAAAAAATTACGACATTCACCATGACAGCAGGTAAAAATTCGAAAAAATGGCTAAAATACGACGAAACACTCTGAACTTACAAAGAAACCCGAACAATCGGGTAAAAATTGGTTGAGGGTGTACATCTTGATCAAAAAATCAACAGTTTTCGGCCAAAAAATGTAAAATTCATGGAAAAATTCCGATTGCCAACGGCAAAATTATAGTCATTTCGATGGAAAATGTGAACTTTCAGAGGTGACCTGCCTGTGAAAATGTTTACAAACAACAATGTTGATGGATCGGCACTAAAAATCATTTTCATTATAGTAAAACCTGCAACTTCTTTCATCTTCATCCATTTGATGTTGTTCTTGAGAAATTTGATGTCTAAATGCCAAAGTTAAGAACATTTCCTAAGTTTTTCGGGTTCTGGAGGCTCTAGCGTCCCTTCCAGGTCTCATAGTACTAGTTACCACAACTGGGCAGTCATTCCACCAAGAAAAATTGACCCTAGTTTAGGTACCAAACTCAATAAAAGTTTTCTCCTCAAAATTGAGTTTATTTTCTCTCCTTTACATCGAATTACAAAGAACAATCGATCTAGACATTGGTCATAATCATCTACTGGTTGGCCTTGCGGAGCTGGTACTCGACGACAATGAATGGGGCCCAGAAACCAATCGCGAGGAAGATGGTGGCCTTCAAGGTGAACAAACGGTGGTTGCGCACGTTGAATGGAACTTTCTGAAGAGAAAATTGTTATCATTAAATTCTCCAGCCTCTAATGAAGGTTTTGGGACTAAATTTCCAAATAAAAAAGGGAAAATACTTACCGACATGGCATAACCATCATGGATGAAGCTGGTGGGAGTTTGTGGCTTCCATTTCGTCATGTCGGGCAGGGTGGCTCCATGGTTGGGCAGAGGAGCGTGGTGTGAGTTGCGAGCAGTGCGCAGAGCTGGGCGGAAAATCTTGGCCAACATTCTGCAAAAAGGAATTTCGGTAATTTATCTTATTCATGACCAACTAAGTAAAACCTCTCAATACTCGTTGCATTCGCGAATTATATAGGTGTTTTCAATAACGGATAGTCGCATCATAAGACGCAGAATGATCTCCGACATGGCCGGCGGGAAAAATTACTCAAAGCACACAAAAACATCAATTCTTTTGAGAAAACAAGATCAAAAAGTTACCCTTGATAAATTCGAATTTTACCAGTCGAAAAAAGGTCTTCTAAGGGTCAAAATTAAAGTAATAATACCTCAAAATACTCGCAACAAGAAAGGAAAAATGTTCTCCGTCAGAAACGTGCTAACTTTATTTTCCGCGTTCCGAAACGAAATATTTTGAGTCTCTGGCATTCCGTTCCAAGTTGTGAAAAATAAAACAAAAATCTTGGAATTTCTCGCGAGATCTCGGTCTCGAGACCAATCTAGAAATTTGTTAGTGCAAGTTATTAGCCATAATGGAGGTAAGTAATTTTTTATTTCGTTTTTATTTATATTACTTTAGATCCATCCGGGTTATGCGACCCAAAACCGCATCGAAACCAGCTATCGTCAGACACATGAAGTCGAAGCTCTTCGTGTAATACATTTGAATCAGCTTTGTACTGATTTGGTGGCGATAAAAGATAAAACAATGGATCCAGTGGCTTATGTTAGATATGTGATGGCATCTTTGTTTGACAACTTGGACGTAGATCTTTGTCAAATTGGACCCAGAAATGATAGATCACACGAAGATCTGGCTCAACGGCTTAGTTGCCTGATTGGATTTGACTCTACTAGTTTTAAAGTGAGTGTTTTTCTTTTGTTTTGAAGTTTAGGTGTTGGATGAGATGGTATCGATGAAATCTTGATGCTACCCGTAGAATTTTGGGCTTTTTTTGGTTTGAGTAGAAAGAATGCAGTAATAGCTTGATGTGGCTGTTAAATTCAATGGATCTACATTTGTTTGAGACTTAAATTTATGTTGTTTTAGATGATCAGTTCATCAAATATGTTAGTATTGAAATTTTCGATATTTTTGAAAAAATCAGTATGCTAAAACACTTTCAATAGTGAGAACATTGAATGAATCTTCCATTCGACTCAAAATTTCCTTTATTTTAAGTTATTTTCACATAAATTTACCTTATTTTAGACGATCATCTCCTCACATGAGTTGATCGAAGAATTCGTCGACAGATTCAGTCGTCATGCCGAGAACAGTCTCGCAGATCCCCGACAAGCCAACAACTCACTGTACATCTGGCTTCTCAAAGGCTATCTGTACCATTTGCTCCCCACAACACCGGATGCCATCTCATATGTCAAAACCGCGAACTGGTTTCGAAAAAACTACCTGGCCAAGAAGCGGGAGAAGTTCACAACCCCGTTTCGACTGCTCAAAGACGAGGTCTACAGTGAGCTGGCTCGAACCTTCAACGAATCCGATCTGGACGAAGGGAACGTCTATCTCCGGCTGTTCCATTTCGTCGAGCTCCTCTTGGTGAACATGACCTCCCTTTCAATCACCCCCACCCCAGCACAATTGGTCTCCATCTCGGTGTTGGTTGAATACTACGTGCAGTTTGTGCTCGCAGACGGAGGCGACAAGGACGTGCAGTTGCTGAGGAATCGCCTAAGGCTAAACCATCAATTTGCTCAGATTTTGGCGCCGTTTTTGAAACGCAACCTGGCTCAGAGCAATATTGACAACACGTTTTTGATGTGTTTCGGTGAGAAGTTTGGATATTTGGGGGAAATTTTTGGTTTTAGAGATAATTTTTGGTCAGACCTTACCTAAAGTAATATAAATTTTTGAATTTTTGGTAAAAATAAGATGCAAAATCATGTTTGTAGGAAAGATTGAAAATGAAGTTATGATTTTTATTGCAAATCATGTTTGATTTTGCAATTTTTTACCTAAAGTAATATAAATTTTTTGAAATTTTTGTCTAAATTAATATTGAAAAGGTCAAAAATAGGCTTGAAATTGCTGGTTAAGTCTAGATTTTCACTTGGCTTCTTGATTTTCACCTCAAAACACCATGTTTTGTCGATTTTTACCTAAAGTAATATAAAATTTTTGAAATTTTTGTCTAAATTAATATTGTAAAGGACGAAAATAGGCTTGGAGTTGCTGGTCATGTCTAGATTTTCACTTGGCTTCTTGATTTTCACCTCAAAGCGTCTAATTTCATCGATTTTACCTAAAGTAATATAAAAAAATTTACCTAAAATAATATAAAAATTTTCCAGAAATCGTCGCAAATCTCCTCTACCCCAGTCCAGACATCTGCCAGAACGAAGAGAAGCTTCGAATCTTTGTGGAAATGAGCACATTTTACTTTGTCGACCTTCTCCATCTGATAGTTGAGAAGATGAAAAATTCGAATGTGGAGGTGTTGCTCACAATGAATGTCCTTCCGATGTACACAGAGCTCTTCAACGCCGAATTTGTCCGCATTTTATGCGCCCTCCGGCTAAATGCGACCGAGTTTTTGGAGCCAATCGAGCAAAAGTTGAAAATTTTTGTCACAGAACCCGAAGAAATTGTAAGAAAGGCGGTGAAAGGCGGTTAAAGTTTTGTCAAAATGACATGTAAATAATTGATGTTATCTTTAGAGCCCGGACGACTCGATTTCCCATCGAATCAGCTCCTTTATGAACACGATAATCCCCTCGGACGACGACTGCCTCAAGTCCAGAGCCAAACTGTTCCTAAAAACAATATCAGAAAGACTCCAAAGCCCATACGCTGTGTACCCACCGGACCATACGAGATCTGAGAGGCAGTCCGCACCTCCGGAGGTATCGATCAACTCAACGGCAGCTACAAGTCTAGATCAAACAGCTGGAAATAAGACCCTGGAACGGTCAATATGGATGAAAAATGCGGTCCCGGATTATATCACGGATCCGTGGACCCAGATGTATCATCTCACACCGAAAGGAATTGATCAGGTTGGTTTTGGAAAGGTTTTGGGAGGATTTTTGAGGTGGTGATTATATTGTAGTAGGTAAAGTGAGGTAAAAATTTAGTGCAAGTGCAGAAGAGGGAATGAGGGTTTGGCTGGCCTGAAAATGATAGAAGAGATATTATTTTTTATTTTTTTGAGCTGAATTGATATTTATCGAGGGGTTTTGTAGCTGATATTACACTAGGTAAAGTAAGGTCCTAGATGGCTGATGGGTACTCTATTAGGTGAAATTAGTATATTGACGGATACAAAATGGCCTGAAGTGAGTATGATTTGATTTTTTAGATGGAAAAATTACTTTAAAAAAAGTTATGGGCAATTATATTACACTACCTAAAGTAAGGTCCGCGGATAATTTAATGGATCCCATTGTTGAGGAAATTTGTGCTAGATGGCTAAAATAGCTTGTAATTACTATTAGTAAATAAAATTTTGCAAAATTGTTAATGGTTTTTGCAATATTCGATATTATCCATGACGTTTTCAGGTCATCCGACGAGAAGCCCAATTCGACTTTTCCCGTTTCAAAAACCGGCTAAATCTCCATCGACCGAGTCGATGGCAATGTAAGCCCGTCTATGACTACCTTTCCCACCTCTCCGTGAAGCTCTCCCGACATCCATTGGTCGTCAAACTGAAGCGGTTATCCAAGAATGAAGTGGTTGGGCCGATCGTTTCCCTCGCTTTACAACCCGCCTCTCCCGTGAAAGGAGTCCCAGTGTACGGGAAAAACATTCCACGACAACCTGAAACCATCAATCTCCGATTTTTTTCGTATTATCCAGTCCTCTTGATTATAATATTAGTGATTTTTAAGGTTTTCACCGCGTTTTTACACACCCTTAGGGTACTCTGACATATCCAGCAGGTCTTAATTACTATTTAAAGTTGTTAATAAAGGATTTTGACTTGATTTTTCAAAAAAATTTTTAAAATTTCATCAAGTATAATATAATTTATCTAAAAAAACTATCGTAAAAATACAGTGGACCAGTTTATGGCAAGGGGTATGGGATCTATTTTGATGCTCAGTTTACTTGCTGAGCTCGGCGGTGAGTTCGGGGACGGCCTTGAAGAGGTCGGCTTCGAGGCCGAAGTCGGCCACCTGGAAGATGGGCGCTTCCTTGTCCTTGTTGATGGCAACAATGACCTTCGAGTCCTTCATGCCAGCCAAATGTTGGATGGCGCCAGAGATGCCCACAGCAATGTAGAGATCCTAAAAACGGAAGCTCAAAAAAGAAAATCCAACCTACCGGAGCCACAATCTTTCCGGTCTGGCCGACTTGCATGTCATTGGGAACGAAGCCGGCGTCAACGGCGGCTCTCGACGCGCCAACGGCGGCGCCCAATTTGTCGGCCAATTCGTAGAGGAGCTTGAAGTTGTCGCCGGATTTGAGGCCTCGTCCGCCCGAAATCACAATCCTCGCGGTTTGGAGGTCGGGGCGATCGGATTTGGAGAGCTCTTGGCTGACGAACTCGCTGATTTCGGTGTTCAATTTCCCAACTTCGGCGGCTTCGGTGGCGGCGGAGCCTCCATCAGCGGCGCTGGCCTCGAACGCAGTTCCACGCACGGTGAGAATCTTGACTTTGGCGCTGGATTTTACCTAGAATGGTGGAATTGTTTTAAAAATTCGGATTTTTTAAAAAATTTTTGGAATAACAAGTCTAATACTATAAATTAAACAACTAGAAAAGCTTAAAGTTCGAGTAAAATCTTTTTACTTGTCGAACACCACATGAATTTACTATAAAAGCCAAAAAATCTAAGATTTTGCGATATTATCCATGACCAAAGAAGTGCTCAACTTCAATGATGAATAACATAAAAATCCCAAAAGGTAAAAAAATTTAACCTAGTAATTCTAAAACCGCAAGAAATAAGCTTTCAAATGATATATAAGGTTTACTTTTATCAAAAATATTAACCCATTTACACGACTTTTATTCAGACCTCCAAGGACAATCTAAAATAAGGTCCGGCAACCTTAATGTTGATCTGACTTTGCTCCAAACAGTTTTTTAAAGCAGTAACAGTCCATTATCCAACTAATAAGACCAAATTTAATACTCAAAATATCCCGTGCTTACCTTAGCAACCGCATTTCCGGCATACATGGTTCTGGTGAAGGTGTCGGGCGAATGAACCGCGCTGATGTCCGAGATTGGGCTCACATCCAGCTTCGCGGCAACTCTTGGAAGGACCCCACGTCCGAACGACGATCCTCCGGCCAAAATATGGGTGAAGTTGTTCTTCTTCTGCGCCTCCAGAACCACTTCTGTCACGCGTTCGGGCAACAAATCCTTGAGCTGCGCGTCTTCCGCGACCAAAACCCGCTTAACATTCGGAATCTTGGCCGCCTGCTCCGCCACCTTCTTGCTGTTGGCACCAGCCACCAGCACGCTAATTTCGTGGCCGATCTTCTGCGCAGCAGTGATCGTGTTCAGGGTAATCGCACCCAAAGCCTGATCATCATGCTCGGCCACAACCAAAGTGCTGTTTAGACGCTTCTAAAGGCAAAAGTGAGCAATAAAATTGAAAAAATACCTGGAGAGATCCGAGAGAACGGAAGAACAAGGTCTTTGGAGCAAACATCTCTGAAAATTATCAAGATTTTACAAAAATAATATAACAGATGTCAATCTAAATTAATATCCAAATGCCGTGGTCAACATCGCAAAACAGAAAGGAAACTACAAGTTGGATGGTCAAACGTCTCGTCTTTTCTTTTTATACAGTACAAAGTACACTCAATGAGCGAAAACAACTGATTTTTAAAGTTAATTTGTTATCTTGTACATCAGGATCAAAGTCCCGAATAAAAGTGGCAAAAACTGGATGAAAAGAAGTTGCTAAAGACGATGGCTATTTGTCGATGGCGTTGCTGTAAAGTTGGCAACAAATCTCGGCAATTTCTATCAAAATAATTGTTGGCAAAGTGCGCCCAGAAACATTTGTTCGTATAAAATGTCGCCGCAAGCTGCAACACCTCTGGGCGCGAAGAAAGAAAAATAAAATTTATAAAAATGTAAAGTTACAAGTTGTAGAATCAACGTGGACAAACTTGATGTGATGTGATCCACAAAAAAGGCAGCAAATCCGACATTACACTTGACATCAACATGGACCTCTCTTTTTTGGCTCAAACAAGGTCGATAAGTCTTGCCGGTCGAGCGTTTTTGCATTCAACGAACATGTAAGATAACGCAGTACGTTTTTACATTCCTTCAGATCCGCCAAAACACATTATGACACTCTGGGGATCGACAGAACCGCCAGTTTGGGAGAAGTAAAGAGGGCCTACTTCGAGAAGTCGAAACTCCTGCATCCCGATCGGAATGATGGCGAAACCAGCGAATTTATGAAGCTCAAGAAGGCCTACGACGTGTTGCGAAGGCCAGCCGACCGCCGGATTTATGATATGCAGCTTGCGGGACAATCTCCATATCGATCTTACAACACCGACAGATCTCGAGCGGATTACTCGAAGTAAGTCAATTTATATTCGAATTTATGCTTTTAGTGTCGACTGGGAGACCTACTACAGGAAGCATTATGGTGCAGACGGCACGACGTTCCGCAAAATGCAAGAACAAAGAGATTATAATCGAAGGACCTGGAAGAGGATGCTCATGATCACTGCTGCCGCTTGTGGATTTATTGTCACTTACAACTTCTTTCTTTGGTAAGAACACGACTTTTTCTTCCATTTTGGAGTGTTTAGGTATACGATATTCAAGGAGGAAAAACGAATTGATCGATTGATAGCAAAGGACGAAATTGCAAAGTCATTTTTGAGACAGCGTGAGATGAGAGGGCGTCTGGATGATCAATTATCGGTAGGTTACGGGCTATATACCTTACTGAAGGATTTTATCGACCAAACTGTTCGGTATCACCTCATTTCTCCGCAAAAAATTTCAATTTTCTCCCTTTTTTGACCTTATACTTTCCATTTTGTCTGTTTTTAGTCAAATTCTCTCTCAAAACACTGTCATTTTTACAAACTGGTGTTTTTTATAATTTTTTATATTTTCCATGAGTTCATGTTGCGTATTTTACCCATTTATTTTATCTTCCCATTCCATTTTCCCTCCCTTCCACCCAAAGTCCGCATAGCGCAGTGGTCCAATTGCCTGCGAATTCCCCCCTTGCGGGTTCGAATCCCATCATCCGCAATAATTTGTTTCCTTGTATTCGCACAGTTTTACATCGAATACATTGCCAAATTGTTGCAAGATCATAGAGAAGACAGTGTTTCCTAAGGCTGTTTGTAAGCTTTGGGGGTCAAATGCTTCCCACACCCTCGATTTTGCCTCTTTTTATATTGTACTTGCTATATCAGGTAATTTTTTGGAATATTTGAGTTTTTTGATCTAATAATTGATTGTAATCTATGATTTTTTTGCTTGATAGTTGTTTGATTAGTCTGTTTTTTTGTTTCAGGTCGCTCATTACGCCCGAATATTGCACTCGGACATTGAGGAAAAGATGAGACAACGAGATGAAGAACGGCGAACCACTGGTGAACGGAATCCCCTCGAGATTCGCGAGGAATGGCGTTGGATGGAGGCCGTCAAACAACCCACAACAAACCGGTACAAAGAACGGGGCTCATAGGAACTTATAATATCTGGCTAATTTTAGATGTACATAAAGGACTATACAATATCTCGAGTTTTGAATTGATTTCTATATCCAAAACTAATATAATATGTCGCAGAGGATTAAACATGGCACTAGAAATTTATCTTATCAAATATTATACATTATTAAGTATTGCCATTCGGACAATCAGGTGTTTTCATCAAGAAAATTTGGTTGTTTTGGCCATACGACCATTCTGTATAAAGTGTGGAGGACTGTAAAATGTCAGAAATACTCGAATACATCTAGAAGCATCGGTTGAAGAAAGACCAGAGCACCTCTCGGGCATACGGAATGTAAGAAAGGGAATACCAGCCCATCGCAAGGTATTGCCCGATAATACAGAGCACCGCAAGGACTCCATTGCGTAGCAAAAGACCTGTTATCAATGTCAGGATAATCATCAGTATGTATATGAGTGTAGCGACCAATCTTGTGGGTTCGAACATCTTTTTAAGTTGATTTAGTGGACCGGAGAGGAAGAATGTCCTAAAAATGCGAAAATGCAAAGGAAAATGAAAGACTTACCCGCCAATTGAGATTATACTTCCTAAGGACACCATAACCGCAAACTCTGTCAACTTCCCGGCGAAAATAAATGGAGATCCCTGAAAATATCAGGAATTTTCTATTTGATACATCTAACACAGTAAAAATCAAATTTACACTATGACTACGCCATCGGAACGGCATAGAATTCACTTACCAAGAGACTACAAACCATTGACAAGATGAAGCAACCAATAAAACAATAGACTCGTAGTTCCCAGCTGAGATCCGTGACTCGTTGCGACTAAAGCAAGAATAATATAAATAAAGGTCAAAACCCACTTCTCCAGCCGCGGGCTGAGCTCCATTGACTTCCACATCGCTTGTTGATTGGCTTCGTAACCGGTCGAACATTGTTCTACACTTATTGGTATTTACATCGAGGTATAAGGGGGACGGAACTAAAAAATAAACACTAAAACGAAAATGCGGTGGTAAATGGGGGAAAATTAAGGTTATAAACAAATAGCTCGACCCAAATCGAGACCCCATTCTCGCCGCAAGCTGCCAGTAAAATTATTCTCGCGCAAAATGTCTTGGCATTTGCATCAACCATTTCGCTACGTCCCACCACGAAAACGTTTTGAAATAAATATTGCTAAAATTTTTCCTCTACTTCAACATCTACGTGATTCCTGTTTTGTTCTGGTTTTGTTGATCGAGAATATCATAAAAAGTAAGTCAAAAGATCACCCGATTTTTTCCTGATCTAAATTTATATTGCACTTGGTGTTTAGAACAAAATGCCGCCCAAAGCGCAGCCCAAAAACACGAAGGAGCAGCAGAAGAAGATGCAAAAGAAGATTGAGGACATGACTTTCGGGTTGAAGAACAAGAAAGGTGCCAAGATGCAGAAATTCATCAAGCAATTGGAAAATCAGGTATCTTAGCGAATATTGTTTTTATTGCTTGGTGTTTAGGTGAAACCCGGAGATCCACGGGCTCAACAAAAGAAGAAGAAGGAAGAGGTCGATGATCTGAAGGATTTGAGCAAGATTTTCAAGCCAGTTCAGACCATGCCAAAAATTTCCGCAGGTGTGTCTAGTGTAACATAAAAATTCGTCTCGAAGCTTTGGTGTCATCGCAAAATCTTTGCAGATGTGGATCCAAAGTCTGTGCTATGTGTCTTCTTCAAGCAAGGGATGTGTACGAAGGGAAAGAAGTGCAAATTCAGCCATGATTTGGCGGTTCAGCAGAAGACGGCCAAAAGAAATCTGTACGTGGACAGTCGGGACATAAAGAAGGACGAGGAGGAGGAGACCAACGAGAACTGGGATGAAAAGCAGCTGAATGATGTTGCGGAGAAGAAGCACGGTGAGAAGGATCGGAAACGGCCGAATCAGACCTCGATTGTTTGCAAATACTTTTTGGAGGCCGTGGAAGAGGCCAAGTACGGATGGTTCTGGGAGTGTCCGAATGGAGAGAAATGCATCTACAGGCATGCGCTGCCCGAAGGCTACATCTTGAAGAAGGATAGGAAAAAGATGGAGGAGCAAAAGAGGCTGGAGCAGATCAGTTTGGAGGAGCTTATTGAGAAGGAGGTGGGTCATGTGTAATATCGTAATTTTTGCTATTTTTTTGGTTTCATTAGTTTTATTATGGTTTGAGCTCTACTTGGATTAATAGTGTCTCAAATCGAGGCAAATTTTTGTTATTTCTTCCTTTTTTTGCCTAGTGTAATATAATCAATTTTTGATTTGTGCGGTATAATAGAAAATTTTGATATTTTCATAATCTCTGTGACTTATAAAACATGTTGGCTCTCCATTTTTCCGGCAAACAAAGCTTCATCGTCGATTTTTTGATCAATTTTAGTCTAGTGTAATATAAAAATTTTACAGTTGATCGTCAAAATTTGTTCTAGTTGAGACATTTGATCATTCTCAAAATATTTTAACAGGTTTTAAATTTTTTAGCGAGCTCAACTGGCCGGTAAAGCTCAAACTAAAGTTACGTTGGAGACCTTCATTGCGTGGAAGAAGAAGAAGCTCCGTGAACGAAAAGAACAAGCCGCGGCAGATGAGAAACGAAAGAAAGCCAACTTTAAGAGTGGGCAGAGGACTGGACTCAGTGGTCGCGAGCTCTTCACCTACGATCCTCAAGCTGGTGGTGATGATGATGAAGATGCCGAGGATGTGGCCATCGAACGGGAAAATGAAGTAAATTTTAGTTTAATTTATAGTAAATGACATGAAAATGGAATAGAGGTAATGATTTTTTGTTTTCAGGACCCGAACGAGAAGGTATTCGCCATTGACGAAAGGACCTTCTACAATATTGGAGAGGAAGGCGCCTATCTTGACGATGACCTGGATGAACCTCAAAGCTCCGAGAAGCCCAAAGAAGCCGAGAAAGAGGAGACGAAGCCCTTGGTGTTCGATGAAAGCGTCTTCAACGCCGAAGAAGACCTCCCAAGCGATTTGGAAGAGGATGAGGACGAAGACGACGATCAACCCGGCTCCAGTGGCCTCAATGCCGACCCAGCAGACGCCATAAAGGATAAATTGAAAATATAAGAAGTTGTATTTGAATACGGTTACGTTTGTTAAATTAAATTCTTTTTTTGTTTTTGCCTACTACAATATAGTATTATAAATTGGATTTTTATGGTGTTTAGTGCGAATTGTATGCAAGGAGCTGGCTCAGGAGGGAAGTAGAGGGCATAACAAAGATTAGTGAAAAATTTTAATTGAGATTTATAAAATTTAGGGGCAGATTTTATATTGTTTTAGGCAATTGGACCCATAAGGTTAATTTTTGATATTGAAGCGATTTTGGTGGGATTTTCGTGGCAGAACAATTATAATTATTGGCTAGGCTTTGAAATTTCATTTGGCATTCATTTTATGGTATTTTTTTGGAAAAATATGTCATCGTGACACATTTTTTAATTAAAATTTTTGGACTTTTTTATGAAGATTTGGTTTTTTGATGGTAGAAAACGTATTAAAAAAATTTTTAGGCTAATCATTTTTTTACATAGAAACCATTTTTACCTTGCGATGACACATTTTCTATGATTATTTAAAAATTTTCAATCAACTCTATTTTGGTGCTCTATTTTGTACCCAACATTTTTTGTTGACCACCGGATCGTGAGTTGTGACCCAAAATTCGATACAGTGACAAAAAGCAGCGGCTATTGTTAGCGCGACCCCTTTTCTTCGCGTTTTTCGCCGGTGACCTTTCGAACTCGCTGCGGATTAGGATAAACCCCACTCATTCATTCAGCGGCCCAATAATCGTGAGGAAATGATTTTTACGAGAATTGGGGAAGCTAAAATTAAAAATTGCGTCGAAAAAAAGGTAAAATAAAAGTAAAATACGTATGTTTGTAAACACAAAGAAGAAAATTTTTTTGTCCTCATTACCTATTTTATGAGCAAAACTGTTCATTTTGTATGTGTTCGTCAATTTGGCGAAGTTTCCAGTGATATTTTACAGTCTGAAAAAATTCCGCACAGTGCAGGCAACTTTCAAAATTTCCGCACAGTGCAGTCAACTTTCAAAAGTTCCGCACAGTGCAGTAAACTTTTAATTTTCCGCACAGTGCAGTCAAATTTTTAATCTTCCGCACAGTGCAGTCAACTTTTAACTTTTTCCGCACGGTGAAGTCAAAGTTTCATTTTCCGCACAGTGCAGTCAACTTTTAACATTTTCGCACAGTGCAGTCAACTTTCAAAACTTCCGCACGGTGCAGTCAACTTCTAACTTTTTCCGCACAGTGCAATCCAAACAAATGTTTGCTTCAATTTGCACAGTGCAATGAGCTTTTGTGTCGCCGATTTCTTCGCACAGTGCAATCAAATTCCTGACGCACAGTGCAGTTTGGCACTGCACCGTGCAATGAAATTTGTCGCCGGGTAGTGCAACAAAACTCCTCGTCGCACTGTGCAGTCATAAAAATTTTTTCCGTCAAATTTTTTCGCACAGTGCATTGGAATTTGTTGTCGCACAGTGCAAAAAACAAAAACTTTTTTCGCACTGTGCATTCAAAACAAACTTTTTCATTGCACAGTGCAGAGCCAAAATAAAATTTATTTACAATTGATTAACCAGTTATTTCCACAAATTCCCCTTCAATTAGTCTGCAGAATTTCCCAAAATTTCCGCAAAAAATCGCGCAAATAGACTTTGGGGGAGGTTTAGAGGTTAGGGTCTCGTCTTTTCCCCCCGCCCTCGGCCTTATGATCGGTGGCCATGCCTGCGCGTGAAATGAGAAGCCCCGAGAGTCGAAACGAACACGTCAGAACTTTTGAGCGCCCCTCTTCCCATCGCCGACTGACCGCTAATTAGCATGGGCAACGATCTTTGGGTTGGATCAGCTCGGTTCGGGGGGAATTTTGCACTCTTAAATGGGGTTGAAAAGTGGTAAAAATGTCAATTTTAGTGTAATTACTACTTAAAATTACTTATTATAAGTTTTTGGTTTTTCTGCACAGTGCGTTTCCGAGAAAACTGGGCTTTATTTTTGACTGCACAGTGCAGTTTTTGTCTATTTCTTTTTTTCGCACTGTGCAGTCATAAAAAAAAATCGAAAATGCACTGCGCGACAAAGGCGACAAACTTTTCCCTTTTTCTCTTTGCACGGTGCAAAATAGTTCCCATTGCACTGTGCAACCAAAGAAAATAAATTGATTGCACTGTGCGACAAAGTAAGTCCCTATTTTTCCTTTTTGCACTGTGCGGAGAGAAGTTTTCTTTCGAATGCACTGTGCGTTGTCGCGAAAACTTTTTGTCGGTTCGCACTGTGCAATGAAAAAGACTGAAAAGAGGCGTTTGCACTGTGCAAAAAGAAAAATCACCTTGTCGCACCGTGCAGTCGCCCTTTTTCTCTTTTTTGCACTGTGCAATGTCCACGGACCTCCCGCACTGTGCAAAAATAAAATTTTTTTTCACTGCACAGTGCAGTCGCGACAAATCATTCTGCACTGTGCGTTTGCCAGTTCCACTGCACAGTGCGTGTGTTTCCTCTTGTTTTCGACCCTTTCTCGGCCCGATTACGTAAAAATGATCGCTGGGAAAGGGTTGCGAAACAACCAGTAGTTTCGCGAAGATGACCAGAAGACACGTTTCCAAGGCTGATAGCCGTGTATAAAGGCGCTTACCGCGAGGGGTTGCGCGTGAAGAAAAATGGTTGGAAGTCATTGTGCATGTTGTTTTGATCGGCATTTCTTGGTATTTTACTGGGTTGATTGTGTTAAAAAAATTTTCAAACATTTTGTCGCACAGTGCAAATAAGTCAAAAAAAAATTATTTTTGCACTGTGCGGATTTTATTTTCTTTGTTAATTTTTTGATTGCACAGTGCTGAATTTTTTAGAAATGTTTGCACAGTGCACAATTTTTTACATATTTCAAGCCTTGTCTGCACTGTGCAAAAAGTTCAAAAAACCTTCGCACCGTGCAAAATTTTCTTTCACTTTTATCGCACAGTGCAGTTGGAAAAAATGCTCTTTGCACTGTGCGAAAACGGATTTTTCATGGTTTGACTGCACCGTGCGGGGTTTCAGTTTTTTCCGCAACAGTGCAAAAAACCAAAAAATTTAATTTTGCACTGTGCGGATTTTATCTTTTGAAAAAACACTTCGCACAGTGCGAAATTTACTTTTATTTTTATCGCACAGTGCAGTTGGAAAAAATGCTCTTTGCACAGTGCAAAAACAAACTTTCCCAGACCGCACCGTGCGCAAATTTTTTTGCACTGTGCAAAAAGTCAAAAGAATCTTCGCACCGTGCAAAATTCCATTTCATTTTTATCGCACAGTGCAGTTGGAAAAAATGCTCTTTGCACAGTGCAAAAACGAACTTTCCCAGACCGCACCGTGCGCAAATTTTTTGCATTGTGCAAAAAATCAAAAAAATCTTTGCACCGTGCAGAATTTCCTTTCACTTTTATCGCACAGTGCAGTTGGAAAAAATGCTCCTTGCACAGTGCAAAAACGAAGGTTTCATGGTTTGACTGCACCGTGCAGGTCTTCAATTTTTTCCGCACAGTGCAAAAACCATTTTTTCCGATTTTTTTCTATTGCACTGTGCGCCGAACCAAAAGAGCAACTGCACAGTGCAAAAAATGAAATTTTTTTTGTCATTTTTTTGAAATTTCGGAGATCTCCCGCAATATAGTGGGCTCCGTCGATGTTGATGGCTACTGAGTGTAAGTGTTTTCGCTGATTTCAGCGCTCAAAATCGGGGTCAAATTGGTTTCCTTTCTCTTTTTTCGCGAAAAATTAATTTCGGAACAGAATTTCTTTTTTGTTTTACCGCCCAATTGACCGTTTTGTCAGCGTCTTTCCGGTGAAATCAACTGTGCAATGGATGGGAGGGGCAGTATAATAAATATATATTTTTTGATGGTCAATGGGTTCAATTATAAGATAAAGGGGGATTATAAAAAAATTTTGGGCTGTAAAATGTGATTTACCATAGTTTTTTTTTACTTTGGGATGGTACAGGCAACTTTTAAAACAAAATTTCCGCCGCACTGTGCAAAAAAATGAATGACTGCACTGTGCAAAAAAAATTAATGACCGCACTGTGCAAAACAAAAAACAGCACTGTGCAAACAGAAGTTACCGATTGCACGGTGCAAAAGAAATTTTGAGACAGCTCAATGCAAAAAACAAGTCATCTCGCGACTTGTCGCAGTTTCTTTCCATTGCACTGTGCGAAAAAATCCAAGACAAAGCGCGACAAAATTGATTGCACGGTGCAGTCGCAAATGCACCGTGCAGGAAGAAGTTTGAAATTGCACTGTGCAAAAGAAAAATTGGTTGTCACATCTTTTTTTCGCTGCACTGTGCGCTCAAAAAAAATGCAAAAAAAATTTGGAAGAACTGCACAGTGCGGTTGGAAATTTGGACGAACTGCACAGTGCAATTGGGAATTTGGAGGAATTGCACAGTGCGGTCGGAAATTTGGGAAGAACTGCACAGTGCAGCTGGAAATCTGGACAAATTGCACAGAGCGGGTGAAAATTTGGAAATACTGCACAGTGCAGTCGAAAATTTTGGAGTAACTGCACTGTGCAGTCAGGAATTTGGGAAGGATTGCACAGTGCATTTGGAAATTAGGAAGAATTGCACAGTGCAGTCAGAAATTTGGGAAATTTGAAAGATAACCGCACAGTGCAGTTAGAAAGTTGGGAAGGACTGCACAGTGCAGTCAGAAATTGGAGTTGGAAATTTGGATGCACAGTGCAGCCAGAAATTTGGACAAATTGCACAGTGCAGGGGAAAATTTGGAAATACTGCACAGTGCAGTCTGAAATTTGAAAGAACTGCACAGTGCAGAAAATTTTTAAATTTCGAACATGTCAAAAATAACTTGCTGGTTCATTAAAACAATTTCTTTTACTATCATATCGCTTGTAACTTGTATTTTTCCCACCAAAACCTACTGTAATTTTTAGAAATTCCCCTGATTATCGCAAATTTTATTTATTTTCCCCTCCTGTTATTACTTTCACTCCATTTACGACCCTTTTTCTCTCTATATTTACAGCAAATTCCTCGATG